TTTAACATGGGGATTGCCCTCCTACCCTACATAATTCTGTTCATGATGGTTTGGCTCAATCTTTCATCCTGGGTTAGAAGAACTCCTGAATATTTGTAATTGTCGCAGCTTCCAATTTGCCTCTCATCGTCTAATTCTATGCCTTGCTGATTCCCGCGAAACGGTCATCTTCTCGGTTTTGCTGACATTAACCTCAAGGCCCCATTTCCGATGCTCAGCTACAAACTTTCGAGCCATATACTCAGCATCATATTGATCTTAATGGAGATGTTGCATGTGTGAGGAATTTGCGATTTGACTATTGTATCTGCTTACGTAAAAGTTCGCGAGAAACACGATGGTGCCACTGGTTTTCTCTGAAATCAACTCCCAAGCTCAAAAAAAGCTCTCAAATTGAGGCCAAAATGGAGGGGATATCCCACGCTATCCTGAGAGTCCAAATCTTACATCGAGACAAACTCTCCATGCAAAGATAGGGAGCAAATAAATTAGCAGTGATGCCGTGTTTTCAGTTTTGGAGTCCCCAAATAAAGCGGCAGCCCTGTCAATGTATTTGCTCCCTATCTTTGCATGGAGAGTTTGTCTTGATGTAAGATGTGGACTCTCAGGATAGCGTGGGATATCCCCTCCATTTTGGCCTCAACTTGAGAGCTTTTTTTGAGCTTGGAAGTTGATTTCAGAGAAAACCAGTGGCACCATCGTGTTTCTCGCGAACTTTTACGTAAGCAGAATCAATAGTCAAATCGCAAATTCCTCACACATGCAACATCTCCATTCTACAAATAAAGACCAAAAAACCTCAATGCACGAATTTGTTTTGAGGATTTACTAACTGAAGAGCTTACAGATCATCCAGACCGAAAAACGCGGCGAAGGCCGCGCAATAGTGGATCAAGTCCAAGTCGGGATCTTGGGCGCATGCGCACTCGTCCGAAACCGGTCATGGTCAGCGCATGGTCCTGCGTATTCCCACATTTTGAAACCGCTCCGTTTTGTAACGTTTTTCGTTTATTAGCCGCTGAGCTAACGGAAAATAGCAGATTTTTGAGCGGGCAACTGATAAGGAAGTCTAATCGCTCCTTGAAGATCATGAGAGGCGTCGTCAGTAAGCGACAATGGCGCGCGCCTGGTTCCCGTTGCCTTCAGATCCGTATCGACGGGGCGAATTTAGGAGATTGAACTGCCATTTGGATAGGGTTAAGCAAAACAGCCGCATCTACGTTGCGGTGCAGAGTTTTAAAATCTTGTCTATTCTTTTAATTTGTTTTATGTAGAAAACACACTGGGAGTCCGAAATCTTGAAAACATTGACAAGAAAAAGGACTCTTGATTCAATCAGATTTAAGCTTAAATCAAAAGGAAATCCGCACAACCTAAGAGGCTGGGTTCTTCATTTAAGCTTAAATCTGATTGAATCAAGAGTATTTTTTCTTGTCGATGTTTTTAAGAGTCTGGACTCTAGATCCAATGTGTTTTTTTTCCAGTGCAACCAACTTTAATCGCTTGAAATTTAGTGGAAATAACTGCTTGGTCTCTTTCCCGCTGACACTGAGACTTTAACGCACGGTAGAAAAGTTACATTATACGAAGCAAGTGATACAATTATTTCGACTTCCATGTCGGTAAAAATGCATAACCACAAAAATGAAGGAGCACCTGGTTTCTTTCCCGCTGACTCTGAGACTTTAACGCACGGTAGAAAAGTCATATTAAGAGAAGCACGTGATACAACCATTTCGACTCCTAAGTCGGTAAAAATCCATAACCACGAAAATGAAGGAGAACTTGGTCTTTGTCACATGGACAAAAAAATTCCAGTAATTTTCCCATACTGCAAGGTTCCTTTCCAAAGAGACAAATAGGAGATGGGATTTTGAAACACCGCGATGTAGTTGTAACTCGACGGTGAAACTACCAGACCACGTATCTCGTTTTCGGTATATAAAAATCTCCCCTCGCATTTTATTTTCGTGAAGAAGAACAAACCGATACCATTCCTCGAATTTTGCACAGATTTTTCTTCCCATGGAAGAGAAAATTCGCGGAAGTTTTCAAGAATTGACGTCATTGAGTGGTTTACCATCTAAAAATAAAGTATGATAGGAAGTCTGAGACGTCGCAAACCAAGTTACGTGGTCTGGTAGTTTCGCCGTCGCACAGTGGATCGCGTCAATAGGAGAGGTCGGACAAAATTTGGAAACTGTAAACGCTAATAACTCCGCTTACACAAAACTTTGAGGTTCTAAAAGTGGTTTCACTGGTCTCTTCATGAAATTTTCTTCTGGTAGCACCCCTTGAACTTAAAAATGTGACGAAATACACATCAAAATTCACAGTTTTTGTCAAAAACTTCATTTCCAACCTCTGTAATTTACTCGATCCACTGAGCGTCCTTACTGTTTTGCTTGGCTCTATTTATTTGTCTGAGGGCTGTGCACGTGTAAAAGACTGGTAGTCTCTGAAGGTGGCTCTTGAAAAAGTCATCAGGAACTTGAAACGTTGAGCTTTAAAGTTATAGAAACGGAGGTTCGGAAATCAAATAAATTGCGAGACAAGAAAGTGGCTCCCTGTTGTGAAAGCTCGTCCAAATCTCTGAATAAAATCCGTTTATGGGAAGCCTTAGAATATTGCAAGAAAAAGCAAGCGAATTTGGATGGGCGGTAAAAATTCATAACCACATAAATGCAGGAGAACTTGGTTTCTTTTCCGCTGACTCAGAGACTTTAACGCGAGGTAGAAAAGTTACATTATGCGAAGCACGTGATACAACCATTTCCACTTCTAAGTAGGTAAAAATTCATAGCAGCGACCTGTTAACTTTAAACAGTACCATCTAAGCTGCTTTTATTGTTCAGGTTTTGTTGCAGAGGCCTATATATTAAAAGTTTGGTTTTTCTCCAAAGTAATACCATGAACCACTAGACAAGGTACGAATTTAAGTAATCTAATACCAGTTTCTTAACCAGAATTTCACGTACAACACGATTCGCACAACAAAAAGTACTGAAACCAACTCCTAATGAAGATATTAACGTTTTTATTTCACATTTGTTACGAGGAATTTCAACTGCCCGCTCACAAGAAACTCAAAGCTCTAGGTACATACGTGAGTCAAATCGCGCACTGCAACAGTTTCAGCAAGCTTTTCAATCGAGCCATGTTCATTTCTCATCGTGTCGTTCAAACTATAAGCAATTTGCTATAGCTGAGCCAAAGCGTCAAGACTGAAGTTGCCAGATTTTTATATCGCAGAGACTATCATAATAATGTTTAGCGCGCCATGTGAATCACGTAGAGCATTGAGTTGTAATGAACGGGTGGTTTGAATTTACGCATCAGGAATCATTAAATATCTTTGTAAGGAGTTGATTTCGGTAATTTTTGTTGTGCGCATCGTGTTTTACGTGAAATTTTGGTTACCAACAATTGGTTTTTAGAGCAGATTTAAGTGATCGTACTTTAACGCCGGTTAGAAACGTTAGTGTGGACTTAACACGTGATACAACTATATTTCGACTTCTAATCAGGTAAACTTACATATCCACAAAATGAGGGAGAACTTTGTCTCTTCTCCGCTGACTCTGAGACTTCGACGAATGGTAAAAAAGTTGCATTACGTGAAGAACGTGATACAATTCTTTCGACTTCTAAGTCGGTAAAAATGTATAACCACAAAAACGAAGGAGAACTTGGTTTCCTTTCCGCTGACTCAGAGACTTTAACGCGTGGTAGAAAAGTTACATTATGCGAAGCACGTGATACAATTAATTCGACTTCTGTGTCGGTAAAAATGCATAACCACAAAAAAGAACTCTGTTTCGCTGACCCAGAGACTTTGACGAAGTGTAGAAAAGTTGATGAAGCGAAAATTTAACCATTTTGAATTGAAAGTAGGTAGGTAAACTTACAAATCCACAAAATAAGAGAGATTTTGGTCTCTTTTCCGCTGACTCTAAGATTTTAGCGCAGAGCAGGAAAGTTAGGTGGAATGAAGCACGTGGTACGAGTATTTTGACTTCCAAGTAGGTTAAATCGCATATCCACGAAATGAAGGAGAATTTCGTTTCTTTTCCACTGACTTGGAGACTTCGATTAACGGTACGCAAAACAAGTAAATCCGCTTTTTCGCTAATTTTAATTCATTTGCTTGCAACTTCCGCCAATTTCTTGGATTATAGACAGGCCCATTGAGCCTACAAAGGTCAAGCTAATTGAATCAGTGAGAACGAAAACATACCAACTCGAAAAAATGAAAATTATCGAGACACACACAAAACTGCACAGTAGGTGAAGAAGTTAGTCTGAGTAAAATATTTTTAATTTAGCAGGACAGTATATGGACGTATTTCTGTCAAACGGAACTAAGCGCCAAATTGAGTTCCTTTTGAAGATTTTAGAATCCCGGATAGCGCGTTCTGTCAAACGGACCTAAGCGCCACGGAAAAGCATTGCGAGTATGGAGCGAGCATCGCGTTCCGCAACACCCGCCAATCCAAGCCCCCCTCTCCTTTCCTCCCCCTGTGGCGCTTAGGTCCGTTTGATAGAAATACGTCCATATGTACTGAAGGACTCCTTAAAAGTTCAAACTGGAACAGATGCGCTAACGTCAATGACCTTTGCGAAAATTGGCTGTCTTTAATGAAAATGAAGCATTTTCGAGTTACAGAGTTAGTGTGTCTTCGTTCTCACTGATTCACACGGAAAACAAAATTGCTGATTCAACAATTCAATTGCTAAAAACAGTGAGTGCAATGTTTCAACGCAGATTTTACAACAAAAAAATGCTACTTTAACCACCCCCGTGGTTAAATTAGTTTACAATGTGGTTAAAGTAGCATTTTTTTGTTGTAAAATCTGCGTTGAAACATTGCACTCACTGTTTTTAGCAATTGAATTGTTGAATCAGCATTTTTTTTTCTGTGCAATTAAGATTGGATTTTTCAGTGCTCTCGCTTCCCTGTAAAATTTATTTTCTGACATTTTCCATGTTTATGTTTCAGGCTCTGCTTTCACGATCTCTGCTGACGGCGTTAGCGACGCTGTCGACACTCCCCTTCTCGGCGAGCACCCTCTACCGAAAGACCCGAGAGGATCAGTACTACTACCGTCGCTACGGGAACAGCTACCCTTCGGCCCACGGCGGCGCCGGCGAGGACGCCCAACCCCGGCAGATCCCCAGCCCCAAGTACATCCCGGGCTCCAAATACCCCACCGAGGGGCAATGGGTCAAACTGGACCCCATCGACTACCACTACCCCAAGCCGAGCTACGACTCCAACTCCGGCTTCCGGCCCAACGACTCGCCCTACCCGGACTCGAGGCCAAAGTTCTTCCAATCGGACCACCGCTACTCCCCCAGCGGGCACAGTGGCTACCCCTCCGGCCCGTCATCCTACCCCTACCCCTCCGGTCCTTCCTCCGCCTACCACCCACCCTCCGGCCCTTCCTCCGCCTACCACCCATCCTCCGGCTCGTCGTATCATCATAGACCCTCTGTCTCCGGCTCAGGTTACCCGTACAACTCGGGGTCTTGGAACTCCCACCATGGGATCTCCTCCTACGGCTGGGACAAGCGGCCCGCCGACTCGCTCTGTGGGGTTTGCCCCGGGACTTCCGGGAGTACGGGCGGTCTGGGGGGTGTGGGGGTTTCCCCCCAAAGGGGCGAGTACCGCGGCAACGGGTACGACAACCTGAGCCCCGAGTGGGCGATCCGCCAGATGAAGCACCACGGTGGGGGAAGTTACTCGCATTCGCCCCGACCTCAGTGGGACAGTTGGAACAAGTACCCGCCTCCTGCGGACTACAACCGGGGGACCGACGATCGCGGAAACGCTGGGAGTAGCTGGAGCTCGGGGTCTGGCTACGGGGGGACGAGCGGTGCGGGGGTGTCGTCGTGGGGGGACAAGCGCCCCGATCAGGATCGGCGCCCCTACTCGCCGCGCCCTTACGACGACCGGAAGGGCATCTACCCGGTGAAGTCGACCCCAGGGACGGGCTACTGGGACAGCCACCCGCCGCGGGAGATCGGCTGGGACCCGGAGGACGGCCGCGTGGGCGTGGTGTCCGGCTGGATCGGAGGGCAGAAAGGGGGCAGCAAGGGGGGCTACAAGGGGGGCTACGACGACTACGATCGGAAGGACGGCGACGTGGGCCGCGTGACGTCGGGTTACGTCTTCGTGCCGAACGCGATCGAGGCGAAGCCGTGGGACGCCACGACGAAGGGCTACTCCAAGCCCGCCAACTGGGGCGCCGGCTACGATCGAGACTACGCCTCCAGGTGGGACTACAACGCCCCCATGTCGCATGACAGGAAACCTCAGGGCTACGACCACATGCCGGACAGGTTCGACAGAAGACCGGATGGATGGGACGCCAGACCGGGAGGCTATGACACTAGGCCTGGCGGGTATAACACTAGACCAGGTGGGTATGACACTAGACCAGGTGGGTATGACTCTCGGCCTGGCGGGTATGACAGTAGACCTGGAGGATATGACAGTAGACCAGGGGGATATGACAGTAGACCAGGGGGATATGACAGTAGACCGGGAGGGTACGATACCAGGCCAAGTGGATACGATACAAGGCCTGGAGGATATGACTCCAAACCAGGTGGATATGATGCCAGGCCTGGATTCGACAGGAGACCAGACGGGTACGACAGAGGGTCGGAGGGCTGCAGGACAGGTTGCGGACGGCCGGGTGACACACTCCACGGACATGATTGGCGAGAGAGCGGAACCAGTCAGGATGGATACCCTTCCAAGAGGTTAGTTTGTTGATACCAAAAAGTACCAGTTAATGGACATTTCAATGGAATGTAGGGCTGGATTTGTTGGAATGTTAATTTCAGACGTTGTGCAACGGTGCACTTGGGTGGAAAGATGCAAGTATTGCACTTTTCAGCGGACACTTCCTTGCAAGCCAGTCGCTGCGAGTCCTAGTTAGCTAGAATGTAACGCCTCAGTTCGCTACCGTTCTTGTTTCAATCAAATAAAAATGAATGTTTAGATTCGACATACTCTAAATGTTTACTCTAAAGTCCAACAGGATTTACCTACTTGCCGCCCCTTTTTCATTCGTTTTGAAACATCAAAAAAAAACCATCAAGTGAACGTGCCGGTGAGGTAGGAGCGCAAAAGACGCGTTCACTCGTGTTGGACACATTTTTTGCGTATGCCTTGTAAATACTACTAGCGAAAGTTCAGTTCCGTAAACCTTCTCTGTGTGGACAAGGTCTTCCATTTATAAGAATTGAACGAAATAATTATGAGAGAACAAACATAAATGTGGTTTAATATATGTAATTTTAACTTCCACCGCCGCGCCGTGCTAACCGCAATGTGTTTGGTGCAATGCGTGAAGTATTCCTACAGTCTTGTAGGAGCTATTCGTTTCACGCCGACCGCTGCTGAGCGCCCTGTGTTTGACGCAATGCGTGAAGTATTCATGCACTCTCGTAGGCGCTAATATGTGTTACATGCCGCCCGCCGCGCCAAGGGCTTCTCTTTTTCATCTCAAGTCCTCGTCATCATTGCTTTCTGCGCCGCGCCGCTCCAGGCCAAATTACGCGTTTGGTTTCTCTCTTAACTCACCTAATTAAAGGTGCGCAGTCTTTTGAATCACCGAAAAACGACAAAATTAGAAATTAATGTACTCTCAGGAAATGAAAGATTTTGTCGCCTTTTCTCGTTTGTAATTTTTTTTCTAAATCCGATTTTTTTTTTTTTTAATACCTACATTTAAAAAATCGCAAAATACGTCGCCATGGGCCGCGGCCCATGTGGCCACCCCCTATATCCGGCCCCGATGAAATGTTCACACAGTACCTACGTCTATATTTTTCATTTCATGACTAATAAGATATATAGGTAACAAATAAGTTTCAGGTTCCAGAGTAAAAGTTGTTCCACTATGCGTCTCTTCAAAAGAAGTCCTTTCATTATTATTGCAAACATGGTGCAGCTCCGATTTTAATTTAAGTATAATTACTTACCTAAAGTAAAACAACTCTAGTAAAAGTGAGTCAGCCTCACATCAGGGTATATTTCATAAACGATCCTGAGTCAGACTGATTCAGACTGATGTCAGATTGATGTCAGCCTGAATCAGTCAGACTCAGGGTAGTTTATGAAGCATAGCCTGGCATCAGGCTGACTCGCTTTCCCTGGTAAAAATTGGCAGTAGAATCTGTGTTCCAAAATACCATAGACCTAAAGCCGGCTGTAAGATTTTCAATAGCTTCTATAGCCGGATGCACAATATCTTAGAGCCTTTCATAGCCGATGGCGATTGAGCAACAGCCAGGCGATAAAGTGTATGCTAAATGTTACTAATAACGGATGCTAGGACTTATTGAATTCGTGGACTACCGCTCTATTTTTGGGCCATAGTATCTTGATTTATTTTGCGCGGAAAGCTGCGTACTTTTGAGGGATGCCTGCCATTCCTAATATGTTGGAGCGCCTTCAATTTCGTATGATACTGTGCAATACCTCTGGTGTGAAATAGTTGCTTCAAGCGCCGTGGCACGCTGCGGCGCGGCGAGCTGGTAGCCAGCGCGAAAAGCGCAATAGCGCCTACAAACCTAACAGGGATACTTCAAGCATTGCGCAATGCGTGAAGTATCCCTGTTAGGTTTGTAGGCGCTAGTGCGCGCTTAACTCTGGCAGCACGCCGCTCCGCTCTGTATTAGGCTCCAATATATAATCTCGCGGAGTCACCGTTTTTCAACCCAGGATTTTAAAATGTTTGCACATCCTGTATGGATTATTCTCATTTTAATTGATAAAATTAAATATCGACGGTGAAACTACCAAACCACGTATCTCGGTTTGCGACGTCGCAGACTTCCTGTCGTACTTTATTTTTTAAATAGAAAACTACTCAACGTCAATTCGTGAAAACTTCGGTGATTTTTCCTCTTTGTGCGGAGAAAAATCTGTGAAAATTGTAAGGAATGATATTTATCTAATCTCCTTCAAAAAAAGTAAAATGTGAGAGGAGATTTTTAAACACCGCAAACGAGATACGTGCGGTCTGGTAGTTTCACCGTCGATATGTATTAAAGGAAAATATAATGTGTGTTTTGTAAATATTATGGTGGTTCCGTATCAAACTTAATGATTTCCAAAGCGCACGAATTTCTACAAAATTTCTTATAGCCTTTCATAGCCGATGGCGATAAAGTGTAAAACCCGGCTGTATACTTTTTTTATCGCTTCGTATAGCCCGGCTGTATGATTTGCTCCGCTTTCTACAGCCAGCTATATGATTTTCTATTGCCTTCTTTAGCCGGCTATAAGAATTCCTATGGTATTTTGAAACGCAGCTCCTATCGCCAATTTTTACCAGGGTTCCCTGGGGGAAAAATTTCAATGTGAAAGAGTGAATGAAAAAACTGATTTAAAAAAAATGTATTGTTTGTTTCCTCTTCCATCTGTCCCTGAACTGTATGCTTCTGTTCTCCAGGCCAGACCATTCCTTCCCGCCTTCAGGCCCCGGCAACTATGACAGCTCAACCCGATTCCAAAATGACAGACTGCCAGCTCCTACTCCCACCCGATTCAATGGACACAGCGGTATCGGAGCATCGACAGAATATGGATACGTCTACAGAGGCTCCTACCAGCAGGACAGAGACCAAGTTGTTTCCACCACTATTTCGTCGCTTCCTGTCTCCACTACCATTGTCCCATCAACAACCCTCCCACCGGAGTAAATAAGATACTCACCCCAGTTGCGGCAATCATGTAAACAGCGATTTTATCGGTGGCAATTCAACGCGATATTATTGGATTAAAAATTGCGATTTATCGCGATTAAATACTATACACTGCAATTTTTGGTTCTATGAAATCGCGATCAATATTTGTCGATAAAATCGAGATTGAATCGTCGTATATCGCGATGGATTGCCGGGCGATAAAATCGCGATAGGATCGAGGATAATTGCTCAGATGATGACGATCCTATCACGATTGGTCCGTTGAAAAATGATACCCAAGTAGCATTTTTAAATGTAAAAGTTGCAACAAGTTGGAACAATGTTGGAATTAGTTGCAACAAAATTGCAACTTTCGGTCAACTTTTGGTCGATAAGTGCCGATTTTCGGCGATCTGATCGGAAGACAAAGTTGCAACCTGCTGAGATCGCAAAATTGCTGAACCAAAGTTGTTTAAAATCTAAAGATAGGCAACCAGCAATACTTTGAAGTTGAAACATGTTTCAACTTAATTGCAACTAGTTCCAACAATGATAGCTCCTTCGGGGGAGAGAGTAGGCAATCTGTACATCAATCTATTAGTTGCAAAAATCAAAAAATTTTGTCGCAAGTTGTTGCAACCTCTGCTACTTGGGTACTTGGGCAATAACCTGATTTGCTCACGTCAACGGAGAAACTAGAGATACCTATGAATACTTATCTCGAATGGCCATGTTGCAAATTTCCTGTCATATTAAACAAAGAGGTTGAGAAAGAATTTTCTAGGGGTTGAGGGGTTAAGAAGAGATGAGCTAATGAGCGGGCGTATTTCGGTCCTTGGTGAAAACAGGGGCAGACCAACGCTTTGAGAGGGTGCAGGGCAGGGACATCTAGATGTTGTAACTGCCGGGGATTTGGGGGAGTCGTCCAATCATTGAGGGTGCAATGCGACATGTCTCTGAGTCTGAGTTCCTGAATCTTAATCTCTAATCAACTGAGGCCTAGAGTAATTGTATACGGGAGAGTAATGCCATTTCTGTGCCGCTCTCTGATTGGCTCATCAGTTTTAGCCTATCATGGAGCTCCAAAGTTGGCCCCATGTGAATACCTAAATCCAACCCAGAGGAATACATATTATCGGCTGAGAAATGAATGATAATCACACTCAAAGCATAATTGTCGGCAAAAATATCCATTAAAGGTCGATCCGAACTCAATTCAGAAGTTGATCATAAAAAAATTTCTGTCACATCCAAAATCACGTCTAGAACTTTGTAGAACTTTTCCGCCATCTTGTTTGTTTACATTGGTCCAACTTTGAGGCTTCATGATAGACGACCAATCAGAGAGCGGCTCACTTTTTCCGCAGTAAAAGGATTGAGAAGGCAATATCTCCCGTATACAGATACTCTAGGGAGGCCGTTGTTTTCTTTTAACCATTAGACCTCTTTTACCATCATTACCTCCTCTTTACTGGTCTTTTAGCAACGGATTATTAAATTAATAGAATTACGTTTTTCCATTACTATTCAGTCTCATTCTTTAAGAAAGAAAAAAAAAAACAATTGATATGTTTTACAACTTCACCTCCAATTGTTTATATTCATGTTAAAAGGAAGTATGTGCACAGGGATTGCGTATGACATAGTTCCTTTTAGCATAAATGCGTCCAATTTTGAAAAGGGAGGCAATCGAGTAATCCTGACATTCATTAGATTTTTTCCTTGTATTATTAAACTCTCAATTCACTTAATTTTTAATTTAAAAAAGTGTTGATTTTTTTTTAAAAAAAAATAAATAAATAAATAAAAAATGAGCAGAAATGTTGAGCCATTACAATTAAGATAAGTGTTATTCTACCTCTACCAATGGTATTTTCTGAAACCTTCAGTTTTGGCTTAATATTCAAGAGCTCAAAATTTTCTTCGTCATATCATACCACCAAACTGAGGAAGGATCTTAAATAAAGTAGGTATTTCCCAAAACTCAAATGACGATGATACTGGGGTACTTTCTATCCGATAGATTCGTCACTGAATCGAAGGCTTATCTGCAAGGCACATTGAGCCGTTCCTTCACACCTTAATCCCACCGGTACATTTAAGTGATGAAATCTATGGAAGGAAATGAAACTTTAGTTTTTAAGAATTGCTACAATGTTTCAGTTTCACCTTTGATAGATAGAATTTAAGTTATGACATAGAAAGAAAAATGCATACGAGCGCAACAGTTCAAACATTCCTCTTAAAAGAATACATCTAGCTGATCAAGAAAGAATCCTCATTTAAAAATTAGAAGTATGAAAAAATTATATAAAGATAAAATAATTTGCCTGAAAATGTTTTGATCGTTTATACGTTTAGGGCACCATGGAGGGACCTAGAGTAATTACATATCAATGAATTTACAGTATTAATTGATGTAAATGTGAATTGACTTGAGACAAAATAAGACTAAATCCATATATATTATGATTTTGCCCACATAGTGTCATCGTAAACTCACAATGAACGAATTACTTGTGTTAAAAAAAAGGAAATTTTGGAACTAAATTCTTTGTTGGTTACTTAGAAGCAGGAAATGGGATTAGATTATTTCTTTCATTTTAAGTAATAAACTTGGAACCAAAGTTCCTAATTTGTTAATATTTCATTAAGCATGAACTGAGGTTCTGTATTGGGATCTTAAAATCCTCCTTTCATATTAATTTTTCTGAGGATTAAATGGATTGATTCAAGATAATGTCTTTTGAAGATGATTTATTTCTCCTTCTCTTTATTTTTCTTTTTTTTTTACAAAAAATACAATATTTATTTTTCTAAAATGTACAGCTTGATAATTAACAGTGATTGGTATACTGCTAACAAAAATAAAATTTCTGCTCAAATTGTTTCTATTTTTTTCTCCAGTAAATTTAGATTTGGTGATTGGTTGAGCCTCGATAATTTCATTGTTTCACTCTTAGATAGTAACATATGCTGAATAAAATTGTCATTGGCCGACATTCTAATCTTGCTCACAAGCAGATAGAGCACTTGTACTCTCCCTTCCACGGTAAAATTTGAACTTTATGACGATGAATAGGTCTAGTTCAGATAGAGACTCAAGTGCGAAAAAATGTTCAGAGGTTCTCAACAATACCAGTTCTACACGTATGTTTTCTCTTTATCGAAGCCCTCTGTCGATCAATCTATGGTGCTAGTTTTCTGTTACATTTTTTTGTGAGAGAAATTGAAAACAGCCCCTTCATAGCTATCATATCTAGGCATAAAACAGCCTGAAAAGAGATGAAAATTAAAGACAGTGTTGACAATGTTGAAAGTTAACATTCAGACCTTTGAAATTAGTGAGTGAAAACAATACATACATATAATAAAGCTAAATCAGAGACTGAAACTCAAGCAAAATAAACATTTTTAATGAGCACTGATTTCAATATTACTGGGAGTTACATGTTGCAATTGTAAAATTTTACTCCCTTCGATGAAAGTTTTTAAGTACAGGAGTGGACTTCAATATAAAGAAGATAAAGACTTTTGTTGATCCTGCTTGACAGGTTTTTTGGCTTTCATATCTTTTCATATAAAGGATATGATATTTCCCATTGAATCTTCAAGGAAGGAACATACTTTAAATCTTCCTACTTTCGATGGATGTGGCCTTTCCGCTAAGAAAAGCTGGAAAAAGGATGATAACTAAAACGTTGTTTTAATTGGAAGGAATTATGAAGGGCAAGCAGAAGAAACACTATCCTACCCAATCTAATTCCTTGTACCTAACAAATAATGGAATGATTTAGCGTCACCATATGTAAAACCTGTTCCACATACCTAGGTGGATATTCAACCATTTATTAAAAAAGAATCTAAAAATTTGGGGAACTGAAAACTGTAGCCAGATGTTCATCACAAGGCCAAAAAGGCAAGAATAAAAACTAAATCAGCAAGTTACCACCCGTGAAAGGGAAAAGTTGTGGAGACAAAGCATGCAACTTCAACTATTTTTCAGATGAAAGAATCTTAGAGACCCCATTCAAATTTTTCTTTGCTATAAAAAGAATGACTTTGACTTAAAAAATGAAATTTACTACACTTGTTGATAAAGTATCATTCAGGAATGAATTTCCATTCATTTGTCAAATTATCATCTTCCTTCGCTTAAAACTCAGGAGACACAATTTTGATTCTTTGAAACGAACAGGATCAACCTGAGGGAACATTTTCCGCAAAAATTCTCAACGTATCATTCAGTAAAACTCTGTTGAACATGCACTTACATGCACTACTTCCACTAGGAAGGAAGTAGATAAAGAGTAGATTCCACAGAATACATCTGAAACTAATCAGCAAATATACTGCTTGACCATGGCGTGCAAGAACCTGGACTTTCTGAGGTTAGTAGCTTCTCGTTTAATTTCTTCATTGTTGTTAGTATTGAGTTCCAAAAGACCTATCACTTGCAGCTGAAAAATTAAGATAATATTTTATTAGTTTGCATGACCAAAAATGAAAAATCATTCTAGAGCGATTAACAAATTCATGAATTTCTGAAACACAGAAAAATATTCAAATGGTAACTGGTGCTCTTCATCTAAAATAATTTTTTTCTACTCTGTACTTCTTACTTATTACACCCTACACTACCTCATACTCGATTGCAGATGGTGCGGCTGCAAATGTGATCAATCACTATTCATGTTCTTCAGAGACAATTTCTACAACAAAGATGGTACATACAATGAAAAAACTCAGCGCCAGCTAAACTGAATTGTTTTTTTAATGTTATGTATGTTCTTTATGTTCTTTTTGTGCCTTCTGAGGACAATACGCTTTCAAAATCAAACTTGCTACATCCGAATATTGAGAAACGCTGGGTTGAAGAATGAATTTAACAGTATTTTAATGCGCACTTTCTTGTGAAAATGAGGCACTACTACTGTGATACCCTGTGGGATGTGCTGAAATTGTTGCAATACTCCAACATACACTGTTAACACTCAGAGGAAGTTTGATTCTTTCCGACTACTATTCAGAGTTGCCATAATTTCTTCACCTTCAGATTTCCTGAGTTTTGCTTTTCCATAACTCCAAAAATTTTCAATTCTCCTACTTTCCCTGACCTCTGAACAAATTTTCCACTTTCTCTCTTTTTCTTTTAAGTGCGCTGACTTTCGCTAAACTTTTGACAAAATTTCCTTGATTAGAGATCAAATTATGGTAAAAGGCATTTAGTGGCTGGTTAAAAGATGACAAGCCTTAAAAATGACCAGAGAGGGTAATCAGTTGGAAGATCAGTAATATTTTTAGTGATTAGCAGATGTGTCAAAAATTCTATAATTTTACCCATGAATTCCCTGACTTTTCCTGTCGTCGCTAATTCCCTGACTTTCCCTGATTTTTCGGCAACCCTGACTATGTAATTCAAATGCAGGTAAGGGGCGCTTTCCTCGATCACCAATCTAGTGATAATGAATTTCTACTCGATACAGATGTTACTATACTATAAAATTTACTTTTCAGCCCTGCTTTTTCACAAAATTCACATACAAAAAGTTCAATTTTTAAACTTATCATGCTCAGGAGATCTTAAAGACCATCAAAAAAAAAATAACACAATTTTACCAGCACTGAATTTCTTCTCAGTCTGTGCCAAAAAAAGAACTGTAAAATTAGAATTTCAAGTCTTGTTACTCTCATAGAATGCCACTAACTTTTATAAACCTTTGTACTAACTTTAATCAAGTTATGAGAGCTGTACAATTGAACTTTATACTTATTTGAGATCTTCTTTGTCTATCAGAGTCGTTACCAATGTCCCCATGACACTAAAATAATAATAAATAATCGAGGTTTTTCATACAAAATCTTATAATCTTTTCTTCAAACAGAGCACTAAGGAAACCACCAAACTTTAAGCTACCCTGATATGTAGGAAACTGGAGTCATGAAACACTCTCTCAAAATGCAGGTTTCATAATAAGTATACTTAACAGGTTTATTTGAAAAATTCAAGTAAATCTGCAAAATTACTAGAAAACCAAAATTGGTACTTACCGCTTGCTTTTTACGGTTGTATTGGTTGTGTTTAGTGTGCAAATTGATTAGAAACTCTAAAATATTGTTATCCCAAATGTAATTGTAATATGAGTCCATAGCATCTGAACAATTATTTTCAGAAAGGCACTTGAAAGCCGTTGCGTAATCTACTTCCTCCAAGAATTGGCACAACACAGCCGCCTAAAAAAAGGAGACAAATTAGATTCTTTACTTTTCTAATAAGTACACTTGACATTATTGTTTTGCATGTTAACAAAAAAAAACTGATCAGTTTTCTGTATCTTTTGAGTGCTACAGACCTAACCCCTTTACTAATGACTGAACATAATTTTCTCTGAAAAAGTTATCTTTTTAAATTCATATTTTTATGCATTCATTATTTTCAAAACACAGGTCCTTGAAATCAGGAGATAGACTAATCCACAAACGCAATTAATAATGACTGATTCCCATCTATTACAGAATATTTAAAATTATTTTCTGATGATTGAAGTTTCACAAAATGGCACTTGCATTCTCTCATTACTTAGAATGTTTTTCTAGCATTAGTATTGGCATGGTGCCTGCTTTTTGGCTCGAAATTATAAAAACAAATTATAAATACAAATTAGATAAAAAACTAATAATCAAAAAATGAACAAAATCATGCCTAGAAAATAATTGACGTTAAGGAAAGTTTAGAGGCTGCACTCACTGGTATGAAAACGTATACAAGGTAAGCACAAACCTGAGTGTAACACTGCAACGACATACATGCTTTGATCATTCGCTTAAAAACAGCGTCTTCGACTAGAGTTCGTGTCAGTGGCCGACTAAAGAAGTCAGATACTGAAATTATAGATTGAAGGTAACATTTCAGCGCGGCTGCATGGTGACCATTACCTACCAAACCAGGAAGCACAAAATTAATGAACTATATACAAAAAACTTTTGGACAGATATAAAAAACGCCTGACTCTTTGATCTGCAGATCATGGTGAACATGAGACCCCCCAAAAATTTTGAGGGAATTTTTCAAGGTTGATGACCTTAATTTACAATACTCATTAGAAATTTATGATAAATTCAAAGATTTTGGCAGATATTTTGATAAATGTTTAGATATTTGGGAGAATGATAGGCATCAGCAATCTGTTTTATGGAACTTCCTGCACCTTTGATTTTAACTGACTTGATTGATCATTCACTCTAGATGTGATTGAGAGTTGAATTTGCCTTAGGAAATTAATACATTTTACAGATTATTTCATACTTGTCACCAGAGAACACTGCTAATTACTTGTGTTACATATAGGGCTGACATTCACATTTTACATTAAATTTGAGCGTTTTCGTTTTCATAAACTGGTTGAATAATTGACGAACCACAATAATTATGCAGTGTATAACTAGATATTTTTTAAAAAAATTAAATCTAAATCTAGATCATTGAGTTACTTGCTCACTCGACACAGGAAAAAAATTCAAGAAAACGAGAAAAACCGAATTCAATAAAAAATTCTCCAAGAATAGCAAATGTTTTTTTGACACATAATATTCAGTTTCCAAAATAAGCCCACAGAAAATGAAACTTATTGGTCCTTCGATGGTACAATATGAAAGTTTTTAAACCACTTGAGTACTTGTTTGAGTTGGATGCTTTTTAAAAAAAACAAATTCATACCTATCGATTCAATATAAAATGAAAAAAAAAGTATGAAGAAAAGATACACGTGGCTCTAATGATCACTTCTTTCTGATGACATTTTTTCCAACTTGCGCAGTTTTCTGAGGAAACGATTCATTTGAAGGTGAAAGATTCTAACAGCAATGTTGTTTTTCACAAATGTATATTCTAACAAAAATTAATACAAAACTCAGCTGAAAAAAGAAAAAAATGGGAAAGAGCACTTACTGAAATTGACATCTCCTAATAATTTGAGCCACACCTCATTGTTAGGATAGTGTCGAAGTCCTGACTGGAGTAACTGAACTAGGACTTCATCTACTAACCGACAGCTGTATGCGTTTGCACTAAAATGAAAAAAAGTAAACAGGATAATGAACACAATCCAAAACAATTTATTAAGAAATTGAATTTGACACTGACGAACTGATGAACACTGATGAACGGCTGAAGGACTGATACTAAAAAGAGTGGGAGAAAAAATATTAGATGCATCATAGGATTTAATTTTCTGTTTCCACCAGATTCCTCTCTCATGAGCGGGTGAAACCTTCTTTATAGCTGGTACTATTAAATGTGAAATAAACTATGTACAAATTGCCAGTCATTCTTGAATAAATTAAGACAAGTAGTAACAAAGTAAAATTCCTAGAGAGTGATTTCAGATAAATTCCATCAATTCAATTTGACAAAAACTTCTGCAGTTAAAGAGATCAATTAAATTTATTAATTTAGAATACAAAAACAAAAGATTAACTGTGGTCAGTTTTTACTGGTTGAAATTGAGTATTTGAGATTAGTCAGGCAACGTAGAAATTTAAAAGGTTCAGTTTGGAGAAATAACTGATTTGAGGCCAAGAACTTGATTTTCAGTTTTCGATGCTTAACGCTTCCTAATAATCTCTAGAACATTGAGTTCAAGTTTTAAATCTAATTTGTATTACATACGATGCTATGAGCGTTCAAAATTAATCTATTTGAAGTGAGCAGCAGCAATAAAAAACTTAAATCGCACTTTTTTCAAATCTAGATTGTTGCGTTCTTCAACTTTGAAATGCTCTCTGGGAGTCAGTTTCCAGAATTTTCGGGTACTCTCTGGCTAAATGATGCAAAATTAACTCTTTCACATGACTCAATCACATTTGACTTCTTTGTTTTGTTCATGTTAGGCCGGAACAAAGGATCCTGTTCTGACTAATGGAACTTGATGCAAACGCAACATTGTTCTTCATGATATGAATATAAATATATGAGAAAGTCTTGAATTAATTTGATAACTATGGATTCAATTAACCAAAACAGGAATAAATTCTCCCAAAGAGAAGGGGGAATGCTGGTCAGGTAATTGTAAAAGTATTTCCGTGACAACACTCATATAAACTGAAAGGCACCACTAAAAGAAACTTTATGAGGGCATTGTGATTGAGAACTTATTCCTTGCACAGAACTAGATTGAATTATTCTACCTTGGTGAAATATTGGTTAATAATTTAAGATGGAAAATGGATACATACTTGCTGACACTAGCCGGCCAAAGCACTGAATACTGCGTTATTAGTTCTACACCTGCATCATCCCTGAGCGCTGTATGGAGCCTCGCCAAGAGTGCAGCAACAAGGGATATGACTGAGGGGTCTCTCAGCCGTGTAAGAAGATGCATCAACATTGGTCGATTTACACCATTTCCCATGTTCCGTTTGCCACCGTTTACATGAAATACTGGTAGGACTGTGTAGAGAAATCATTGATCAATTGAATTAGAACGACAGAGCTGATACGATTTTTTTGAAAATTCATTTCTAGAAATTACTTAATAATGACAGTACCTATATTTCTCCTATTTTCATGTAATACAATTTCAGCCAAGACATCAACTTCCGAAGTCACAGTAAATCTAATCTCCTTTCAAATAGAAAAACTTTTTGCCAACAGTTTTTGTAACATTAATTGCAGGGATTGGGAGTCGAGTTAGCAGGCGAACTCGAAGCAGGAGCGATCTCTTGTCAGAGAGTCTGGGAGCGCATCCTCTGATACCTTCGCATAAGACCGACATCTGTCTCTGCCCATCGAGTTCACCTTCTAAGCTACTCCGTACGCAGACTCTCAGCAGCTACAGCATCTTTGGAGTCTGGGTCTAGACTCAACAAAAACGGAGACTCGCAAGGGAAGCTCCGTTCGACCGCCGAATTTCAGCTGCCTGCTCAAGGAACATTCTTGGAAAAGAACTCAGGAGTTATAAGTATACTAGCGAAATGCTCATGACTGGAGTCACGGGTCTAGAGGCCGCTAAAATATCTATAACCCCGAAAAAATGGTGGTAGGGGAGCAAGACATGCCATAAAAAAAATGATAAAATCGATAGAAAAATGAGTTGAGGGGAGAGGGTGATGGAGCTAGAAAAATGAGCTGGGGGCAGGAGGTAGAATAAATGCTGGCAAAAAAATTAAAACTAACCTAGCAATGATTTATTAACTTTAAAAACTTACTCATTTCCCAAGCATCCCTTGAAACTTTCTTATTTCCCTTGAACTTCTTTATCTGATTACATGCAACGGCCAGAGCAGATACAACTTCAAAAAACGGGAAGCGCTTCTCCATGGGACTGGTCAAGAACTCCCACTCGCCTAGATTCAACAATGCCACTGCAGACATTTCCATGATTTCCAGTCGTGGCAACAGAACTGGCTCATTCCCCGCCTGCCGTGTGGATAGACATTGTGTACACTGTTGCACCAAATTATTTTGATCTAGGAAAAAGGAAAAGAAACTATAAATATTAAACATCTATCTAGCTTCAATTGGATTCAGGGCTGCCGATCCGATTACCCATTTTTGAGACCACGATTAACCACCGGATTGTTTTTTCCTCACCGATTACCCACCGGTTCCAATTTTACTCACACTTTACCCTCCGACTCCAGCTTTACCCACGTTTACCCACCAGCTTCAACTTTACCCACTGATTACCCACTGTTCACCCACCATTTACTGCCAAATTTGAATTTTCTTACGGTTATATCGTTGGATTTTAGTAAATAGGAAAATACCCACAGATTACCCACCGTTGCCTGGATTACCTACAGATTACCCACGGTTGCCTGGATTACCCACGAATTACCCATTTCCAACCAATTACCCACCGGAGTTCAAAATACTCAAGAAATGGGTAATTGCCCACGAATCGACAGCCCTGATTGGATTGAACCCAGCAGAAAAAAACCAAGCCACATTGAGCTGGATTCAAGAAAGAAAGGTTTGAAATTCAATGTCTCTGCAAGACTCAAAATCAAGAATTGAAGTTTAATCTAACACTCAGAAGATTTTTTTTCTTTTCTACTTTGAATTTGTGATAAGGGAGAATATATGTACAACCAATTGAGCTCGAAACTATTCCTAAAATATTTTTCATAAAAGACCTATGCAGCAAAGTATGGGTTGTACGCAGCTTTTCATGGCTTAGAATAAAAAAAATCTCCCAAATACTTACAATATTTCTTAATTACTGGTTAAAATATTAAGATAGAAGTTGCTGTTAAATAAAGTAATTTTATACGTTTTTAATTTTTGAGAGATTTTCATTCAGAACATTTTTAGTCTAAGAGCTTGAAAATTTGACAGCGCTGAAAGACTTTTGGTTTTTATCTCTTGAGGAATCGGAAACCAGCTATATCTGGAAAATAAATGACAAACCACTGGCTTCAATTTGTGTAGTTTTTGAAAGAACATTATTCTGCAAAAATCTGTGCCTAATATCCATATAGATTCAGGTAAGCTTTTATTTATTACAATCAAATGAAATATTCGTCTCTTTAGAGAATGTTTACCGATTAAAGGTGCAGGCCATTCTGCAAAAAGTTGGTTGAGATCAACGAGTAGACACTCCCAGGCAATCAGCTGACATTGCTTGTAATACGCAGGACTGTTCTTCTGCTCACGCCCAATTTCCTTCTCGATTGCATGAAGGAACGCCAGCGCCGTAGAAAAATTCTAGAGAAGAAATATAAACAATCTGATATAAACCTATCTGTTCTACCAGAGGTGTTAAAATAAATCTTTGTCTGTAAACCATTCATACTACTTATTGACCAATATAGATTCAAATAAGGCCAATCTTGTTGGCAATGACCAAGACTATAGAAGCTCTATCAAAAAATTAGTTTGTGTTTATGCACTGTAATATTGCTCTCTTGGAAAATATTGCCCATTTCATAATTCTTCTAGCAGAAAAATGTTAGAATCTCTGCAAAAAGAGCAGCCTTGGTTTTTCCTTTGGGGTTCAAGAAACAAAATCAAAATCGCAGTATTCATTTGAGAACTATTGAAAGTGTAGTTTACATATTTGGGTAGATTCATTGATTCCCATTTGACTTTGAACACCAAATCTTCATCCTATGATACTATCACTAAAAGGAGCCTCCAAATGCGAGAAATCACCACTGAATGGTAGAAGGATTGATGTTGAGTTAAAATTATATTATCAAGATTATGACTTACTTTTATGTCCCGGCCCTGATTGTTGAATTGGTGAAGTTCTGACTATGATCATTTCGGACTTTTCAGTCCATCATTAGATCAATACAACAACAGCAATTGTGAACGCAAATTTGTTGAAAAATTAAAAGATAAAAACATGTAATGACTGCACATTAAAATTCTAATTTTGTATGAGATCTTTTAATCTTCTAATTTTATGAAAAATTTGCATTCGCAACTGCTAATATTGTATCGACCTGATGATGGACTGATAAGTTCAAAATGATCATATTCTGAACTTCACCAACTTAAAAACCAGGAACGAGAAACAAAAGTAAGTCATAATCTTGATACCTAAATCAACCTGATAAAGTTATGAAACCTTTCATTTTAAAATTATAATCTTTTAAAACAGTAAACTCTTTCACAAATTCTACTTACTTGCTGATCATTTAGCTGTTTTGCTTTCGCTAGAAGTACATAAACAAATTGCTGAAAAGGCGAGTGGATTTGATGGTGCCCTGCAGACAAGCCTGCAACAAAGCTCTGCAGAGGTATCGCTAGCTCCCACTGAAAAAAAAAAACAACGGGTTTCCTTTAGAGTACACTAAAGAATACATCAATGTAGAAGCAAGATATGAAATACTAAACCTAACCCATTCCAACCTAACAGTGCCAATGATTTTGACGGTGTAAGTCAGCAATCACATAACTCTGTTTGCAATGTCGCAGACTTCCTGTTATACTTTTAAACTTACTAACTTATATGTTTTAAACGGAAAATTACTCAAAGGCAATTCTTTAAAACTGCCGTGATTTTTTTTTTCTCTGTGCAAAGAAAATTCTGCATAAATTTCGAGGAAAGATGTTAATCTATTCTCCTTTAAAAAAATAACATAGAGGCGGAGATTTCCAGACACCGCAAACGAGTTAGGTTGATTGCGTGCTTACACTGTCAAAATATAAAATATGTGAAAAAATTTAATTGTATTTAATAGTTTCAATATTTTACAACAGACATGAGTAGGTCAAAAATTTTGGAGAAAATCTCGATAGCCTGGTATTTAGTAGGATGGGTTTCACTGAGTCCCAAAAAAAATTTGAGAATAAAAAGGTAAGTAAAGGATTCAGATGCCAGGAAATACTTGTGTAAATAATCTGTGAAATGATAGGACCAACCTCTGTTCATGTTTCATTTTATAAACATCCCATTTTCTTTCATCTCTGTGCCTTCTTCCTTCCATATTCTTTTATGGCAATGCCACTATACATCATTGTGACATTCTATGTGATACGTAATATCTGTACTAAATACTGCACTTACCTCATTATTTATCGCCCAAATTGGCTTTTTGGAGAAGACTTGTTTATTATTGTAAATGAGATCTTTAATTTCTTCAACGTCATAGCTAGAAACTAATTTCTGTTCGATGAATGATACTTCTAGGAGAGGGTTTTCTGCTTAAACAGAAAAATAAACAGGAAAAATTATAAAACAAAGCCTTTGCAAAAATTTTGAGATGTTTTATGAAGAAGAAGGAAGAAAATAAAAACAGTCAAATTCTTCGTGTATCCAATGAGTCTTCAATACTTTTCTCAATTTCAATTAGAGGAAATCATTATATTTATCAGTCATCAGTGTCAGTTTTAATTAATTACTTTGCAGGTGACATTTAAAAATGGCAGGTGAGGGCAAAGTCAGTGATTTCAAGAGATTGATATGTACTCAGGTACATGGCTTGCTTACACTACCTTGCCGATCAGCTCTTAAATAATAGACAGAGTCGCTGGTCCGACTCCACTTCTATACCAGTCGCTTTTCCTTGCATCGACTATAAAGGGTCTTAAGTCCTTTTTAACAACTTAGGAATCACAGCAATGCAGCATTTCTCTTCTTTAAAAGACTAAAATAAACCGGTGACTTGGATCACACTTTTCAACTCTTTGACAGCTCTGACAAAATCTAATTTAAATAATGGAAATTACAGAAGAAAAGATAAAAAGAAAGACATCTGTAAGAAAAGACGGATCCTATTGTATAACTGGTAAAAAAAAAAAAAAAAAAAAAATTGTGAACGTTTCTTTCCAGTTTGGATTGACTTGGAAATAGAGAGTCTTATAAAGACCAAGATTTGAAATACTTGTGAGGAAAGTACAAATGAATAGAGATGAAAAGTAACTCACGGATATTTTGAACACTTTGGAACTCAGAAAAAATGGGTCCGATATCCTTCAGATCATCTCCCTCATCATTTTCATATTCTTCAAGATCACTTTTCGTCACCAACTGACTGACTGGAAAATTCAACATGGCTGGCAAACCAATAACTTTGATCAAGAACTCAATCACCTGCCTCTTCACCAGATCTGTTGCATTCGCCATTATGGGTTTTAACACCTGAAACACAAGATGATCATATAAAATACATAGATCAAGAGGACTTCATCTAATTCTAAAGAGGAGATCATCACAAAGAGTTGGAAAGGAAAATGAGCTTTTACCTATAAAAAATAATCAAATTCTGATTAGAATGAGAAAATTTAAAGTTTTAATGTAAAATATTAGGGTTACTTGCAACAGGCTCTATTTTTGTTTTCAAAGGTTCACAAGTTTTGTTGAACCTCCGAGCATCTACCGCTGTGGAAAATAGGCAAAAAAATCTGAATCAAAGCAAAAATATGTAAGGTGTGCCTATCAAACCTGGTGCCATGACTTTCAAACAAATGCAGCTAGCGAGCTGTTTGCAGTTTTCTTGCAAGAAAAGTAACTTATTTGCTATCGACTGACATCAAATTGAACTTATTAAGTGGAAAATTTGCGATTTCGTGACGGCTGAGGACAAAAAGAAAGAGGTACCTGACCCCCTACCGTTTTTAATAAAGAATTTTTTCCTTCTCCAAAAACGGACATTCAAAATTATGTTGACTTCTTGAGTTGAGTAAATTTTATCAATAATGGACTTGGCTTGGGAGCACTGCTGACTACAGCTGCAACTATGGAAATTATGCAAAAATTGCCAGTGAACTTGAGATTTGAGAAAAGTCTTGTTGGTAAGCAGGCTTTCCATCATACAAGTTTGTATAGTAGTGTTTGAGCAACCTGAATGTTGTTTCCACCCAAATTAGTGTTAGCATTATGGAAACTATTAAGAAACAGAGAGAGAGATTATCTACATATTTACATTACCAGTGAGTCGCAGGACGACACTGATAGAAACTTTGAATGAAATGAAGGGAGTATGCCAAAAACTGTGTCAACTTGGTGTCAATCAATAGAAAATGATCCATCCTTTCAAATGCGAACATAAAAAAATTCTTTACTTCACATTCTGCTGCCAAAAATTTAATAATCTTAATTGAATTCAAGCCCAGCAAATTACAGAGGAAAATTATTCAAAAATGGTTTATGATTCTAATTCTAATAGTTGCGAAGATTAATTAATAAAACTGGCTTACCCAGACTAGAATTTCAGTCCCTCTGCGGATATTGTGGATTTTGGAAATAAAATCTTGCGTAACATACTGTGGGGAATCTTCCAACACCTGCCGCACAACGTTCAGCGTTTGAATCTGAATGAGAAGTTCTCGTGTGGCGGTCATGCTTCCGCAGGAGACGCCTGCATTCCAGTCTTGCTCTAAATTTAGCCGAATGTTGAGTGGAATTTCTCGCAAAGTATTATCTTCTTGCAGGATGTTGATTATTTCCTAAAACATTTGAAATAATTAGCAAATTCGTTTTTTTTTGGAGGGCGGGGAGGGAGAGAGGAAAGAAAGGGATTGACAAATTAAAAAGTAAAGAAAGCCGAAACTAAAAATAAAAAACTCAAACTCACAGAAAATAATTAAAACTGCCGACGCGTTTGGATTGACAGATTGTTTGTCTTTTTAAAGAAACTAGTCCTTACATGCCTTGGAGATCACCTGTTGGATGCAAAGTTGTAAAAGTGCTTCAAAGGAAATTCAATGGATGCATATCGACGGCGAAACTTCCAAGCCACTTATCTCATTTTGTTACATTGCAGACTTTCTATCATACTTCATTTTTTAAATGGAGAACTACTCAACGTCAATTCTTAAAAACGTCTCTCATTTTTCTTCACTATGCAAAGGAAATTCTGGAAAAACTTCAAGGAATGATGTTGACTTTAAATAGATGAAACAGGAGCAGAGATTTTTAAACAATGCAAACACGGTACATGGTTTGGTAGTTTCACTGTCAAAGAATGAACCATTGGTCAGGTTGATTCCATGAGACAGGCTGAGAAATTTTACGATTAAATACTGTCAGGGAATTAATATTAGTTGAAAGAAGACATCAATAGAAAAAGTGTCATTCAATAAATTCATTTCAGATAGATTCTGATTTACTGGAAGATGTTGGATAATAATCAACTATTAAACAGCTTACATTAAAATCATCATGAAGAAGAGCCGTATAGAACCTCATAATGAGGGAAGCTTCAGTCTCCGCTTCCATGAACGGGATGTTTAGTGCTTGGCAATAACCACGCAGATTGCTCAAGGGTATGGAACAATAATGTAATTTTGAAGGACCCAGCTCATTGTATAGAGCCACGCACTGGTTGAATGACTCTTTTGCTCCAGGGTACGCCTGCCTGTAGACCTGGTGCGTCCCGAGATCATATAGAATCTGACACATACGGAAAGATATATTAGTAAAACTGGTGTATAGACAAGGTACACTCTACTACAGGTATGGACAAACGGGGTGCCAAAGTGGCAGCGCTGAGAATATAGGCCATCGAGTGATGTCGCAAGTCGTACCATCTTCACCGCGCAGTTCAAAATGACCTGTTAGAGAGGTTCTGGCAGATCTGGTAGCTTCAATAAGCTTTCAGATGAATTTAAAAAATTTATAAAACTCAAAGTAACCAAAAACTTAACTAAGAATACGAAAAAATCACATGAAATTACCAAGACCCACTCTCAGAACAGAAAGTAAACAAGTTTTCAATATGGCGTTGCAGTCGTACCATTGGACGCTGTCAAATCTACGCGTTTTGACGACTTTCTAAAATTCCACTTGTCCATACTTACCTGTAATAGAGTGTACCTCGTTGTATTCATATTCGAGAGATTTTTGTAAATTTGTACAACTTGCATAAAACTAGAAAAAAATCTCGGAATTTCTGGAGAGATGACTGCGGAAACAATGGCCGCAATGAAAATCATCAGCTGATTGAGATTCCAAGTGAACACAGATTTTGGATTCTCTTTGTATAGAATTCTTCATGACTGCTGTCAACTAACTGGCGTTTACTAAGTTCATTATATTTTAGGGACAAATTATCTTTAATGTTTTTAACAAGGCAGCTTATTTTAAATAGTCCCATTGCAAGTTTTCAATGGGACTATTACAAGTGTACTTCGAGAATTCCACATTTGTGATGAGGAATTTTCAGCTTTTTAGAACCTCCATTCATCTTTAAGATGAAATGTAAAAAGTGTTATAAAAAGATTCTGTGAATATTTAAAAAGTACCTGACATAAAAACTCCCGGGAATCTATGTCAATTCCTCTACTCCAATCTTGGCGATATTCGCTTCCGTCAGTCAATGGAATAAAGCAGTCAAAAGTTGGCATTTTTAAAACCGGTTTTTTGGTGCAATTGATAAGCTGCATGAGGACAGATTCACTTCTTGCTCCTTCACCATCCATGCGGGACATCAGCTCTTCGTTTGTGCTAAAAAAAAAACCGAAAATGGTTATTTTTAATTTCATTCTGAAGCAGCAACTTTGAAAAAACTACTTGCATCTTCAACAAAAAAATTCCAAAGATTGAGAAGATAACTAGTATTGAACTTTACACTTATTAGCAATGTAGGTGAGAATCATTATTACTCTTTGAGCACTGCAGCCTGATAGTTGAAATTTTTTGTTGACATAGATGACATAGGTTAAAGGGCTGAGCGTGATTGGTCGGCTATGTCTTATCGCTGCCGTTGTCGTGCTTTCGTCAGAGGGATAGGCGACATACTGTCGGAAACTTAAGAGGTGCTGTTTGCTTGTCGTGAGTTCAACCCTACATAGGCAAGACAAAGCAGCGATAAGACTTAGCCGACCAATCACACTCCGCCTTTTAACCAATGTCATCTATGTCGTCCCGACAAACGGCAAATTTCAACAATCAGGCTGCTGGATTAGAAATGAAGGTTCAGCACCCCTACAGCTAGCTTAGAAATGGGTAAGAATACAAATTAGATTTTGAGAATTTTACAACAAGCACATAGAGAAAAAAAAAGGAGGTGTTTGCATTTCGAGCATCTTGGAATTTTTTTGATGACGTAGGTCAGTATAGCGACTCTTATCATCGATTTTCTTGGAAAGGGTGTAGTTTATGGAAAAAATGCATACTACATAAAGTGTTTGAAATTATATCATGAGTTAATTAAAGCAAAAAAATTGGACATTATGGTCCGTTTTTCATACCTCAAATTCCGGATTTCGCTGGCTAGGTTGTACCGACCTACTTACGTCACAGGGTAAACAAACCTCAAGATGCGAACACCTCCTTTTTTTTCTCTATGCAACAATCAGTCCTTTGACCACTAAGAGCAAATATCTATGGCCAAAGAGCGAACCATATATCTCCATCCGGGACATTGTAGACTTCCTGCCATACTTAATTTTTCTTATGAAAGCTAGTCAACGTAATTTATTGAAAATTTCCTCGATTTTTCTTATCTGTTATCAGAATATTCTGTATAAATTTCAAGCTTTATTGTTGGCAAGTTGCTCTTCGAAAAAGTCAAATAGGAGTGGAAATTTTGAAACGCCGCACTGGAGATAAGTGGCTTCGCACTTTGGCCACCAATAATGATAAGATATAAATAATGAAGATAATAAAGATAAAAATGAATATCAAACAGCTCCATTACTTACTGTAAGGGATTATTCAGGCGAGCCTGCTTCGCAACCAGAGCACTGTTCATAATGGCATGGACAGTCCACCGATGATGCAGTGCAATCCCAAAGATCTGCTCATCACTTAATTCCTCAAAATTGAGATTCGCAAACGTGTCACTGGTTGGAAAATTAGTGTTACATTTAACATTTGTCAGGATCAGCAAGTCTCTTAAGAGTGTTCCTTGGAGTGGCAGCGGAATTCTGAGGACAAACAATAGATTAGCATGAAAAAGACTCCATCATTTTTATAACTGAAAAAAAAATTCCAAAAAGTTCATAAACAGGGTGTCTAGTTTTTTTTCATTTAGGGAACTCCTGATTTATCCTGATTTTTGACTACTAAATCCTGATTTCATAATTTTTCAAAATTCTGATTTTTTGTGGAGAAAACTTAATGTAATGTAACTTCAGAAAAAAAGTTCAATGAGAAAATCCGATCAGAAGGCCGACTTTTCTCAAATCCTTATTTTACGACCAATTTTTCCTCAAATCCTGATGAAATCGGGATTAAATCCTGATTGACCTCAAATCCTGATAGAGTCCGGAAAATCCTGATGCTAGACACCCTGATAAACTGTTTCTGACGCAGCACAAGTTGAACAAGTTTCGCAACTAAGCTAATCAGTTGTAAAATTAAACAATTTCTTCTGTGTTATTTTTGTTTCAAAATGCTAAAAGAAGTCATAAAAACAGTTTCCATTGGAACATTTATGGAATTCCCAAACTTTGAGCTTCCCCTCTAATCTTGGTAAAGTTGGATTTGCTTGTTTGCTATCGAGCTAGTATGTTCAAAGCTAATGAAATACATATTGACGGTGTAAGTCGGCAATCACATAACTCAGTTAGAGATGTTGCAGACTTCCTGTCATACTTTATTTTTTAAACGGAAAACTACTCAACAGCAATTTTTTAAAACTGCTGTGATTTTTCTTCTCTGTGCAAAAAAAATTCTGCAAAAACTTCAAGAAATGATTTCAGTCTGTTCTCTTTTAAAAAAATAACATAGAGGTGAAGATTTTTAGACACCGCAAACGAGATATGTGATTGAAGACTTATGCCATCAACATACTAATGGACTACATAATACATGCATTGGCAAGAAAACTATGCATACTTGGTTTCAATGACATCAAGATCCCATTTCAAAAATGCAAAAGTCTTCACAGCAAGTATTTTGAGAGCAAGCTGTCTACGGCTCAGTTTTGGTGCAGCATTGAAAGCATCAGGTCCTGGCTTTTCACCATCAATTAACTCTACCTCCATTGGCTGCGGTGGTGCCGACTCCAATGAAATGGTTAGGAACTTGGTAATCAACTCCGTCGGTGACGGGTCTGGAAAAAAAAAAACACTAGTTAATAGAAGTAGGTAGTTAATGATACATCGATGACAGAATTTATTTTAGATTTTCATGTTCACTAGTTTCCCTGGAATCTCAAATCCAGATTAGGCTAGAGTTAACTCAAAAGCCCACTCAGATAGCTGAGAGCAGTCCACATCAAATGGGGTCAGTCATCTTCAATAAATGCTTTAAATATGAATAAAGCCCAATTCAGACAGTCAAACATCTCATCCAAAATGAGGGGACAAAAAGTTGAATGAAAAGTCAAACAAAATAAAATTTGATTATTGTTGTGGTGTGACATCGTTAATCCGCATTCAGATTTTTCCATTACTTCCTGGTTCGCGAAGGTACAGCCTCAGCTTAAACCGGTCAGGAGATTTTGTTCCAACTTTCTGTTGAATTGTTGTGTTCTCATGTCCATATCACTTGATCCTAACTTACTAACAAAAGCGTTAGAGAAGTCGGACGAAAAGTTTGATCGTCTGAATTGGACTCAAGCCAAACCAAATTTTCAATATTGGCTATAATTTTAATTACTATCAGCATCGGATAGGAATGTCAACTTCAGCATTTGATTATTCATGGAGAAAGACTATCTGACTAAACTCCAATTTCAGATCACAAATCAATGGGCCTCATCATAAGATTGGAAAAATTCAAAGTGATTTTCCATTAGTTACACAGCTTAACTTAAGAGTTGGAAGAAGTCCATTTTTCATGGAAAGGGCATTGTGAATCATGAGGATATTTCTCCTGCCCCAACCCCCAAGGCTGTCTCATCATCTTCCACCACAATAATTGACCTTAGTAGTTTGATCATGGGTGTGAAGTATGAGAAATTTGAAGCGATGGTCTGCTCTGTACAAAAACCACAAAAGTTACAGCGTTGAATCGGACACCTTACTTCAAGCATGTGATTGAACTGGAGGAAGCACTTATAATTTAGTTCAATGATGAAGATTGATCATCATGTGTAGGTAGTGATTTTAGCCTCTTTTTTACCTGGATTTGGTTTCTTGAGATGGTTTTCTAATAAATCATGCTCGATCAAGAATTCAAACCACAGCACCGTGTCCGGCGAAATCGGCACGGTGCTGGGTTTAAGTAGGTCCACGTCCACTTTTTGCATGTTCACTACAAGCTAAGTACACTTCACTTATTATATAGCAACATTTGGAGACTAACAACACTCATTTGGAGGAAAAATTGGCGAAAATACGAAATTAGCACTGCATCATCAAAACGTAAACAACGTGCCAAGGATTTTGAGGTTAGGAAGCTCAACTCGCAGAGGTGCTGCCCCTAGTGAGCGCTTTGAGCAACGTTTTAAAAACAGCGCGGCAATTTTGATTTGACGGACCCTGTTCCAGAGGTGCGCACCCGCAGTCCTGCACCCTAAGTTTGTCTTATGGATATGACTTGAATCAATAAACGCTGGTGGCAGTCCTAAGAGATTAAAAAAGTAAAAATAAAATTTATCTCCAGCTTTTCAATAGGAAAGAAGTCGTCATTATTCACAGCAGTTTTCCACTTCTTGGGTTTTATTGATGCTTAATAATTTGTAAAAAGGTATTACTTAATTTGCTACATTCAGGTGCCTACTTCAAAAAGATGCACTGATGTGAGTCAGAGAAAGCGGGATATAAAGCTGTTGGCCTATAATGCCTTATGAAGGCAAATTTTCGCGAGTGGATGCATTTAATCGAAGTTTTTAACTTACTACCAACCTCCGTTACAACAAAACGAAATTCCCTCCGGGCGACGGTGCGCCTTCAACATTTGGTTTTCATGCTGACGACCACATCCAAAATTCTCGACCCATCTCCCGAGGTGGGTTGAAAATTGAACAATTATTTGAGAAGATATGAAAAAATGATCTTATCTGCTAAAATACATCTGTTTAAATGGAAAATGCCGCCAGTTGACGTCACTAGGAGGTGCATTTTCTCACTTTTAAATCTATTTTCTTACAATTTCCCATATCAGAAAAAAATTATATAAAAATACAAATCAGCTATTTAAGTACTTTTAGATGAAGCAATCGAAAATTTGTTTGGAAATTCTCCATTCGCCTATTCGGTGGCGAAAATTCGTCTTCAATGCCCGGACAGTATCCACGGCGACTGGAGCCCGACCGAAAGCGCTTTCCTAACCTCCGAAACTCCAAATACGAAAACAGAAAACTTAACCTCACGACGGACGCGTTTTCCGGATGGCGCACGACCCGGAGTTGGAGTCTGCGCTGTGCCGCGTCCGCTTCCTGGCCGACGAGCGCTGGCAGACGAGCGAGTGCGCCCGGAAGAACCAGGAGCTCCTGCGGGCCTTCCACGCCGCCGGGCCCCCGCGCTTTCGACGGGCCTCAGGGGGCGCGCGCACCGTCCGGCGCGTCATCCCCAACAGCCGGCTGGCCCGCTACGGCGACTACCCCTACGACGAGGCCCGCGAGTTCATCTACACGGTGGCGGATCGCGACGTCAGAGGTCGAGCAAAAGACCCCGAGATCCCCTCTGCTCTGGACGGGGAGCCTTGGATGCTCCCCGAGGTCGGTTACTACTTCAGCCTTTACACCCGCTTCGCTGCTCGCAGGTACGCTATGTGCATGTAATTAAAGTTTTTTACTCTCTCGCTCCCCTGGGGTAGAGGAAGTATTGTCATCCTCCAAGAAAAAAAGAAAAAAAATTGAAATTTCATCATTTCTAGACGTTTTAAGGTCCCTGGAGTCGGAATAACCATACTTGAAAAAATGTGTGTCCGTCCGTCAGGCGTCCCCCAAATCTGTGTAGAGCCATACCTCAGAATCCATTTGTTCAATTTCATTCAAAATTTGCACAGAACACCATATCCATGGTCTCCTTATGCACGTCAAACGATTTTTTTTACTCTCTCGCTCCCCTAGGGTAGAGGAAGTATTGTCATTCTCCAAGGAGTAAAGAAAAGTTGAAATTTCATCATTTCTAGACGTTTTAAGGTCCCTGGAGTCAAAATAACCATACTTGGAAAAATGTGTGTCCGTCCGTCAGGTGTCCCCCAAATCTAAGTAGAGCCATACCTCATAGAATCTATTAGTTCAATTTCATTCAAAATCTGCAGAGGAGACCTCATCTATGGTCTCCTTATGCACGTCAAACGATTTTGGGGTACGCTAAAATTTGGGGGGGGGGCTAGGGGCAAAAGTTGATTCTTAGCAAAATCATACGGGAAGCTCACTTTGACAGACTGTAAGTTTTGAAAAAATGCCTTTAATTCTTTGAAAGTTTTTTTTTTTTTTTTTTTTTTTTTTTTTTTTTTTTTACGTAAGAGAACGGGAAATTTTTCTTCTTGTTTTGCTCAGAAATATAAATTGATACAATAGATGTGAAATTGATCTATTGCTTGACGCGTCTGAGGACACTCGGACACGAGGGCACTGAGGCACGTAAAAAAGACGTAAATTTCTTGCTTACCTTCCCATCGAGATAAAAATGTCCACTTCCATGACGCAGATCGTAGTTTCGAGCGATTGGTTCAGTCCGCCTTCAACGGAACGATTAGGCAAAAACACACTCTGAGCGTTGAATCGGCTGCATTTGCATCCTTGATGATGGGTGGTATGCATTATTCAAGGGTGCTTTACTGCTTGATTCAAAATTTTATGATTCATTCTCTCTTGCAGCTTTAAGTAGTTGATTTGTTTCAGGTTGAATCAATTGAAACAATACAGCAACAGAGTGAAAAGGGTGGCAAATAACAGCGGATGTGGAACCTCTATGAACAGCCAAGATTGTGCCATTTACATGAGCCCACCCCTCTACTCGAAAAACTATTTTTTATCAACACAGTTGACCAACAGATATTACCACTTGCCACGGTTTGTTAGTACAGGTACACGTCATTGTCTTCAACTTCTGCCCAGTCATTTTTGCCATTAAGAATGCATCCTTATTTGGTGTTGTGTAATTTTTATTTTTAAATTTTTTCTTTTACATCTTATTATCTTCTTTAGCCATGTTGTTCATGGGTAAGAGTAGATACTTCGAACATTTCAATGTCAAAATAAATTAATAAGGCTTAAAATAAATGTAAATAAATCACCCGGAAATTAAAAGTACCGGGTGGTTTAGTCTCGATTAAAATAAGTATCCTAGGAATTGATTATTTTGATGAAAATAAGACTTTTTTTGCAGTACCTTTAACATTTTTTCAAAACCCCTTTCTCTAAAAGCAAGGCTGCCGGAAAAATTTGAAAATGCCGGTGTTTACCTAAGTAGGACGATTTTTGTCATTTTGTTTACATTTTTTCATTTTTGTTTTACTGCAAAAAGCTTGCGTAAGACTCGGCTTTANAACTTTGATTTTTTTTTATATAAGCGTTACACATTTTTTATATAAAAAAATCATTTAGATAACAGATATGTTTTTTTTATACTTTTTTTAGAAAAACAAAAATTTGTTCTGCTACTAGGGTATCCTTTGAAATTGAGTGTTATCCTCTTTTTTGCAGTTGACCAGTCAGTAAGTCACATCCGTGATTTCTCTGCTTCAGCCTCTTTTTGCCAGCAGAATTTGGAGTATTACGATGAATTCAAACTGCGTGGCCTCATCCAAGCCAAATCTGTGCAGCAACTCTGGCTTGGCGACAACCAACACTATCTGGTCTCTACTTTGCGAACAACTACAGCAACTGGTAATTTTAAGGGCACCGAAAAAACTTTAATCTTCGTAACATTCATTAGAACTCAACTCTTCTGTAACTACTGCCCTGGTAGCAACGATTTTTTTAAAAAAAAAATGTCATAAATAATTTGCGCCTCCGAAAGTGGGGGAATACTTCACGCATTGCGCCTAACACAGAGCGGTCGCTGGTCCGCGCGAAAAGCATATTAACGCCTACAAGACTGTAGGAATACTTCACGCACTGCACTAAACACAGTGCGGTCGCTGGTCCGCGCGAAAAGCAGATTAGCGCCTATAAGACTGGAGGAATACTTCACGCATTGCGCCAAACACAGTGCGGTCGCTGCGCTGGCGCTGGTCGGCGTGAAACGTATTTGGAACATTCGTTAATTTTTAAGGGACACCTCTTAGAAAAAATTGTTAAATACTCGTCCTAGGAAACCCTCCTTGGGTATTTAAGGTAAAATTTAAGTGAAAAAGTGTTATAAATGATCTTAAAATATCAGCTGAACTTTTTAAACACTAAAAATTTAAGAACAAAGAAATTACAAATGAACTACTACGAAGTGTGGCTATTTTTTAATAGGGCATTGTTTTTAGCATTCTGTTTGCTCTGGTCATGGTGTATGTATATGACTGCGCACAGTTCAAATGAGGGCATTCTCAGTTTAGGACAGGGTTTTAAATTACAACAGAGAAAAAAGGGATGATTCCATCTTTAAAAATATGAGATACCAAATTATTACATGGTCCTCCCATTGTTGAAAATTATTTTTCTTTGTCAGATGAGTACATTAGAATTCATGAAGAATTGCTCTAGGTTTGATTTTTGGTAAATATATTTAAGAAATAATTTATTCATGACTAATGGTTTTGAATTATCTGTCTAAATTAAATCCTAAGTAGCCTATATTTTTTAGATTCATTTGCACAAGGTTGTCGTTTCGCATACCAGAGCAGGAAGTGCTCCTATCAGTCAACCAAAAGGTGTCCGAAACAATGGTACAAAAATCGCCCGTTCCTAGATGTTAATGTCTCGGGATTCCAGTCAAACATTCAGCCTCGGTGAGTAGGTATCTGTGTTACAAAATTACTCAGTTCAGGATATTTAGTTGCTTCAACTTACGATTCCTTGCATTCCTCGTTATAACAGGCACAAGAAAAAGGCTAAAAAAATATCAGCCTTTTACAATCTCAAATACTGTCAAAAAAGTTTATAAATAGGGCCATTCCTATGGATGGCAACTAGGGACTCACATTCAGGTTTCCTCTAATAACAGTAGCAAGTGTTTCAAAAGAGATGCTGAAAAATTCCTCATTAAATGAGTTTATATTGTCATAGTCAATTTTTAAACGAATAGGCCTCCTAAATTCTAAAGGGGAAAAATTAGAATACCTAATTTTACCAAGGTTCCAAGATAACGTTAACTTGATATAATATATTTGAGTTGCGCTATATTTGACGGAGCAATCATACAGTTTTTTTGAGAAGGCTAAGAGTTGGCAACAAAATTCCTTAGGAACAAACTCAGAGGCTTCCTAGATTGAGAGACAAGAGTTAAGATAGAGAGCGTCAAAGACTTAATAGTTTGCGATTTTGTTGCCAGAATATTCAACATAGATAATGCACTGATTCCGCATCAAATCTGCCCACTCCTAGCAGTGACAAATTGTACCGCTCGATCATCAATGTATCAGACCCCTCCTCCGTTCCAAAACCAGATGCGCTCCTTACTACCTCCTATTCCCACCCCTACTATAGTGAATCCCCTTGCCATCAATGTGAGTACACTTGTGCTACCAAAATGGGTATTTCTTAGGATAGTTTACACTTATAGGTTTTTACAATATTTTTCTTTAGTTTGAGTTCGTTCAGGCCTTCCGAATCTTGAAAATGGAAAATGGCTCAATGATGTCCCAAAAAATACATGTAAAGTTTTGCTTATGAAAGCACGATGATTGCATACCAATGGAGAAACTAAAATTGCACATCTTGATTGCAAAGTTTTAAAACTTCCACTCACATTTTATTTACTCAAGAGAATACCTATTGTCAAAAACAAATTTAACATATAAATTTCAGAGAATATTCCTGAGAAAAGGAGGAAAATTGCACGAAATTTCACGCATAATCAATTATAATGAAGTCATTTAGGGGGAAATTTCCTGCGGAGTAACTTCTATGAAACTTTCGTTTTTTATGAGTAGAAAAAAGTACATAAATTTCTTATTCTTCTTCAGGTGTACAACAATTCTCTCACACCTCAAAGTTTACGCATCCCTCATCCTATTTCATCCCTTCACGACAACGATTACAGTAATAGCTTGATGAATAGTGCTGGTGGTAGGTATTACTTGTGAATCCATACACGCCTCCATTTTCAATTTCAAGGGCTGCTGTTGAGAAAAATTCCCTCTTCTCCTCTTTTAATTTAGAGTTTCTGGGGCATTTAAAGGAAGTTAAAAAAGCAAAAGGTTGTTACCTTGGTGGTCCCATTGTCTGTCAATTCCATTTGACATGACTAATTGCTCAGGAATTCAATTTAGCAAAGATTATGCTAAAATTTCTCTTTAAAAATTATTCGTTGACTGTCATGAACAAGAGAGAATATATAATTTTTTCTTCCAAAAAAATTGATGAACTCGGATTTATTAAAATACTGATAACTTCGTTCATTGGCAGGTCTTGAAAGCTGGATATTTTTACAACTTAGTTTCAAAATCTTCATAAATTTGATGCTCAGTCCCTCTTGCTCAGTGATCATCTTCACTTGTGTTGCTATGCTTTACACCCACAAAATAAATTAAGGCTTAAAAAACTACCATACATTTATGCAGACGTTATCCTCTAAGTTTTGGATTAATTTTTGGTCTTTGCTAGACTGAGTGTAGAAGAAGTGATTTGAGCTTCATGATCTAATTGTCCTTGGCCGGGGAGGTTTCCCCTATTTTTTGGCAGATTGATTTTCAGATTCTTCTTTTTTAAGAAATTTTGAACAGTGATAGGTTTTTTTCTGCATCATGGGAGAGTGAAAATCTAAAAATTTAACAATCGAAATTGGGCTGCCCCTAGCCCGAGACCCAGTGAATGTATGAAAAAAAGTAGCTTTATGTGTACCATTACAGTATTATTCAGCTGAGTTTTGCTAATAGCTAGTTTCTGAAAAATTTAAATCAATTTCCAGGCCCAGAGAAAGTAGCAGCCGCACTGACAAAAGTCAAAACCTGGTTGAAAAAAGTCTACCCAAAGCGAGGCAGGGATATGAAAAAACCAAAAAGAATGATGAGCCATCCTTTTGCTTTACAACTACGAACTCATCTTGATAACACTGACTCACCAAGCCAGGTGACTTATTCTTTTTCATACTTTAATATTTTAAATTAAAAACTTAAATTGATTAATAGAATCGCGGAATTAATTGTTCAAGAGCAATTGGTTGTCTTACATACCATTTCACTGAGAATTATTCATTCATTTTATTGATATTGAACATCATTCATCAGATTTGATCTATCTGTAAATAAGATTTTGATATGGTCCATCACATAGGTGTGTTACATGATCGTTTTTTCCAAAATTAAATTCGTAAATAGATCAATTCCTCTAATGACATTGGATCAATGGAATATTTGAACATCATAAAGTGAAAGTAATAAAGAAAAAACACATAATTAATGAAAAGTTTCAAAGGACTAAATGTTGTTGATTAAAATTCCCATGAGCTGTAGGATCTGGCATTCATTAACAGTGCATTGAAATTTAACTTGTTTATCCCCGGTAGAAATCAAAGCAGGAAGCTGAGCGGGGTCTGCCAGTTGATGTTGAAAAATGTTTTGCAGACTTGGAAAAAGAGGCAATAGAACAATATCAGAGCTCTGCGGATGATCTACTCAAGAAACCCATCACTCCTTCAGAGGAGACCTTCATGGTGAACTCCCTTCGTTTGTTTTTCTCTCTTCTTTTTGTTTACTAGTTTTTAAGGAGTCCTTAAAATTCATGATTTGAAGAAAAGAATACTATGGAGATTATGAAATGATATGAAAACAAAAGTAATTAAATATCAATTAAAGAGCCATGCACAAATTCGCCCGTTTTTGGGACCGTGGGTGGGGTTTTGGGGTAGGATATTCAATACTGTCTTTTGGACACACTGGAGACTTTAAAACAGGAACTCTCTGCATTGTAAGTTAATTGAGGATGAAGTGGTCACTTTTTAACACTGCAATACATTTTTTGCAGTATGCAGAAAGAAAGCTTAGGTTAGAAGTATGTTCGAGTATCCTCGTAATTTATAAGCTGTAGGGCTTTTTACTATGCCTATTGAGATTTGAACATGGCAGATTGAAATTTTAAAAATTGATTTCTTTAAATTTAATATTTTGAGCTGCAAATCAAATTCATATAAATAGAATCTATCAAAAACCAGACCCTGTTGGAACTCGAATTTTGGACATTTTTTGTGCCAAAATGTTTGTAAAATACTAAGGTTCATCTAGAAAATTTCCAATTTCTGTTCTTTTCCATACAATAAAAGCTATACTGGGAGGCGTACATCCCGTTTTATTTTCACAGAAAATTTTGTTCTGTCCTATAGGAGTTGGAGCGGCAAGCTTTAGAGCAGTATCAGATGAAAGAAACAAGAGAGAATTCACGTATTTCAAACGGTGCCAAAACTGTCAAATCCGATTGCGACAGTCCGGTCAATTTGGAGACAGCGCCACTTGGTAAGGCTGCTCAGTCAAGGGCCAGTACGCATAGGGACTCATATAAAGTTGCATTGCTCCGAAAAACCAACACAGCAGTTCAAAGCAAGGATGAAAGAGACCATGCTTTGGGAAAACTCAACAGTAAATCTAACATACCAGTTAAGGGAAAGATAAAAGTTACGCCGGTAAAGACGAACATTAAGGAAAGGTAATTAAGTGTATAATTTTTAAGGTCTTTGCTGAAAAGTCAAACAATTTTTTGGAGGCAACTTAAATCAAATTCAGTTATTAGGAAAAAACAGCTGACTAGACTGATTTCCTAACAGAAGATAAGAAAGACGCTGAGAAGCATTTCAAGAAGGGGTAAAAATTTAAAACGTGTAAGTTCTATATAATGCAAAAAATTAAGAAAAATTTCTGAGACTATTTAAAGGAGATAGTTAGTTTTCCTCTCTATAAAATAATTTTAAACAATTAATTTGTGATAGATTGATCTGGTGGGTTGAAAAACATGATCACGATGATTGAAAGTGTGATAAATAATTAGAAATATATAGAAAATGAGATTGAATACTTCAAGCTCATGATCATAGTTAAATTATGGGTAATCACAAGTTTAATTTAGAATAAATGAAATCATTGAAGCACCTTCTTGCTCTTTCTTTTTCTTTCCATGAATATAAAATTCATGCAGATACCAAGCTTCGGCACTGATGCGATGTGAATGAAGATATAGCCTTTAAACATGATGGAAAATGAAATCCTCAATTTTTGTAAAGATCGACACCTCAATCGATTCACGGATAAAATTTTCTTGCATATTGATTAACGTTCAATCAGGAAAAAAGACAAAGAAACAGCGAAATGGAATAAGTGCTAACTACTATTATCAGCAATCACTGTTACTCTAGCTTTATATTTTGCTTACACTCTTAATACGTACTTCACGTTAAGTATCATGGTAAACCTGCAGGTAGCGTTTTCATAGCATGATGCAGGTACAAAGACTATTTCAGCTGTTGGTACACCCTGCAAAAATGGTTACTATGACTGATTCGGTGCATGCTTCGTACGACAATATTCGATATGGAAATTTAGCATTTTGATACATTTTCTAATTTTTTCCTGAATGGTAGGATTAGATCATCATACCACAGTCCTGTAGGGTCTTGTCTTCATGGGTAGTTTTCATAAGCTTTGTCTTAGCACCAAATCTCACATAAGGAACTTCAGCGATTTTTTTGCCATTCCCATCACTGTTGGAGGCTCATACGTTTCTGCGAGGAGTTGGCGCGGAGAGATAATTTAGTAAAAATCTAGAATTTAAATGGAATGAAGGTAATAATTGAAGACAATAAACAACCAAACAAATCATTTAAACTTGATGAACACAAACAATTGAGGGAACAACAAAATATCGCGCAATGGAGAATTTGCAGGTGTCTGAAATTTGATAAATTGGTGTCAAGTGTATGTCACCAAGTGAGCTAAACACGAGGATACCCTTGGTTCATAATCGAACAATTATTGGAGGAGGTATGACAAAATAACCTAATCTGCTAAAATGCATGTGATTAAATGGGAAATGCCGCCAGGTGACGTCACTAGGCGGTGCAATTTCTCACTTTTAAATTAATTTTTATACTATTTCCCATGTCAGAAAAAAATTATAAAAAATACTGCAAAATCAGCTCCTCAGGCACTTTTAGATGAAGCAATAAAAAATTTGCATGCAAATTCTCCACTCACTTTCTTTTCTAATTTATTTCTCAATTGGTCTTGGAGCTTCACAAGGAACCTACTTGGAACTGCGAGAAGTATTGAATTGGTCAATATTTATTGCTACTTCATAAAGGGGACTTTTTGTTGTGACAAATCATGTAAAAAAATCCCACGTAGGCAAGGTTTAACTTGCATAACTGCCTCTTTACTCCTTGGGAGAACAATGCTAAGATGGGTATCAAGCAGTTTCAACTATCTTATTGTTTTTGGTAATATTTTATTGTAATTATAGAAACAGTTTATCAACAAGGTAGAATCATTCATCAACATTATTATACACAAGGCACTTAAAATTACAAGTATACATCTTACAAAATATGATACAAAAACTAGTCATTGAGAATTATTGGTGTTCAATGAGTGGAAAAATAAAATAAAATTTAATAAAGAAAAGAAAAAAACTTATGAAAGAATAGAGGCTTAAAATAGGCTGAGTTGTCTTTTATGTGGTCCCTAAAATTATAGTTTTAGTCAAAATTATTTGAGGTCAAATTTCTGTGCTCACTTGGTCTTGAAGTAAGGCAGGAATTGATAATACAAGCCACTTTGAAACTTTCTAAATTTTTTCTCGCACAAGAAGTAAGGGCAAAATTTACAGAGTAAGTGATCCACTATGATGTATGATGCAAGTTTCCAAAGATAAAACAAATAATTTTGCAAACTTCATAAAATTGGGAATTTTATCCAGTCTTCTGCCTTCCCCAGATACCATTCACCAAATGCGTCTAGAAATCAGGCTTTGAGGCTTAAAGATAGAGGGGACTAGGCCATCGTGGCCCCTAAAAAGTTGACGCACTTCGTCAATTTCTTTAAACTTGCAGTCATGAAGCAGCAGTGATGCTCTCAACGCACGATTTGCAGTCATGATGCGTATGAAATAAGTTAATTTTGCTCCTAAAACCTGTAGGTGGCTTCTAAAAATTGAGTTTTCCGGCTAAAGTGGTCCTAAAATTTTAAACGAAAGGCAGAGCATTGGTTTTATTGATAATGCATGATATGATGAGCATGCGTGATTACAAGGGAGCATTTGAACAATCTAGATAAATCAAAAATCCTTTGCCTGCAAAATCTAAGCTACCACAGGGCAAATAGGAAATGCAATTTGCTTGAACTGATGGTGCCTAAAATGTTTCATTTGATTCGGCATGCATAGCAAAGGGTTGGTACGATATAATCCAATAGTCAGAAAAATACACCAGCAATTAAAGTAAAAAAATCTTAAACAAAAATATTTGTACCTTGATAATCGTAGAGCAAAATAAGCCTTCTCAGATTTAAGTGAAAATATTGGAAACAAGGAGGCTTTAAGAACCGAGTAAAAGAGTGAAGTATTAATTTCTAAACGAGTATAAAAATAATTTGTGATGATAGTCAGTTTAGAATACAAAGAATGAAAGTTGAAATATAAAAAGACTCTGTAACAGTTCAAAGGGAAAATAAACTTGTTTTTTGATATTTCATTAACAAATTTTTGATATTCAGGATTCAGTTTTTCAAAACATCTTGGTCAGATTGCAGCAGTGCCACATGACTCAAATCACGTTACTTGTACGCAATGGATGAGTAAAGATAACTTTTAAGGCCATTGGAAAACAGAGTTCAGTCAACTTCATAAAAAAATTGATTCCTTCAGTATGACGTATTTCGTGACCCGAAAAAAAGCATAAGTATTTACTGTAAGATAAAAACAATCCGTTCAAGACAACTTTAGAATTTTAGGTTGAAAAGTAATAACTAAAAAATTCTTCCTAGAGGTTTGAGAAATTTTGATTTCTGACAGTTTTCACAGTTCCTCACAACCTCCACTGACTTGGCACTTAAGGTATTACCCCATGTTTCTCTTAAACTAGGCCAATGGCCTGTCGAAAATACATACAAGCTTGCACTTTTAAAAAAACAGCTTTGATAAATACGCTTTAAAATTATTAAAAATCAGGCTTGATAGATAAATGTTTACAAAAATAAAACCAAAAATATATCAGAGTAAAAATAGTGTTTGCTCTACCAGTTTTACTATCTTTTGCACAAAAAAGAAAAAAAGAGAGAAAAAAAATACTAGCTAATCTTACAACTTTTTAAGGTTCCAAAAATTTACAAACTAATCACAAGAATAAAAATAAAAATTTTGACATAAAAATCACTGTTGAAAAATTTCAGTTATGATCCAGTGGTTTAGTTCTTGGCTTACTCATAAAGGTGTCTTGGTATTATGAGACCTGAGGTCAACAAAATAAAAATTTTCCACCTACCATATTGACAAAAACAGAGCATTCACACTGACTACAAAAATAGTTCTGGTTGCAGTAACCACCATTGCAAAACTCATGTCTTTAGTTAAGCATTTCAATTCGATGATATTTTAAATAGAAATTAAAGACATGATAATATTTTAAGTAAACAAACGGAACAACATATTTTGACCTCAGCATGAATGAGCACTTACTCTTAGTTTTAGAACAGGATCTATGACCTTTGGTGTGTTTATACGATCAGGTCTTGCTTAAACTGTAGTCAGAGGCTTAAAATTAATGTAAAAACACCTTAAAAGAAGGAAAGCAAATCACAAGGGGCCACTCACCGCCACAAAATCACATTGGGTCCTGATAACACACTATCTCTGCCACAATGTTTTTCTCAATCGAAAGTTACGATACTTTTTCATGAAATTTGAATTTCCTCTGAGAAGAAACGACAATTACAATTTTACATTTTTGGCAAATTTAAAGGGTTTAGTTCTAAAACTTTGGATTAAGATTTTGTTAGCATCACCAAAGACGCAGACATTGAAGAGTCAGGGGTTTCGAGGTGCCCCATGACCTGACTTCAGGATTTTCTAATAATGAACAAAGAAGGATTTTTTACTGCATTCCCCCTTAATAATGTTTGGCTACGCTACTGAGTATCACAGCTTGAACTATTAATTTTAAAACAATTTTTGAGGAATGAAATCTTGAAACCTGAGAGTAATTACAAAATTTCTTCAGTTTTCCTTACAAATTTCTTTCTTCACATTTGGAGGCTAAGGAGTCAAAGAGGAAAATATCTTTCTCAGAAAAAAATTATGGATTTTTAAAAAATCTCCTAACAACTGATGGCTCTTTTAAGTGAGATTTTTTAATTCCAATTTTAAAACTGACTGAAACTTGCTGTGCTTCGATAGGAGGCGTTGTGGAAATTTGGATTATCTTCATTCATTGCAAGACCAACAAAATTTCACTTGTTTGTAATCACTGAGGTAGGAAAAGAGAAAAAGAAAACTAAAGAGTAATTTTGCTTTAAGAGAAAATAAAAGGCAAGATAGATAGTGTTATCAGGGAAGATGAAAATTAACAACGAAAAAGTGAATGATTGTATAATGCGCAAGCTTCCAAGCGTAACATTATGGTATACTTATACCTAAGACTTGAGTAAAATACGGGTAAATTACAAGAAGTCGTTGAAAAAACCTTATTCTTCATTACACGTGTATTCCTCACTCTCAAGAATATGTTTGAAAGAGAACGGTTGGAAGGCATATCCGGTCCCCGTGTAGAATTTACTCATGAATTCCACCCTAAAGAAAAGAAGAAAGAAAAATATTAATGGGAGTGACAGGAAACATGCTTCAATATATATGTTTGGAGCAACTTTGAACTGAACATGTAGAGTGAAATGCTGGTAAGTTCTGATGAGTATTCTCCTTTCTAATTTAAGCTTTCTCACAAAATTTTGTTATTTACATTTTTTTTTTTTTTTTTTTTAAACATTAATTTACTTTTCATTCCAGTAGAGTTTGAATTTTTTTCAAAAAATGATTGATTGTTGAGGAATAAGTAATTATGTGGAGAAAAATCAACTTGATAACATCATCAATTTTTCAATTTGAGTGTCATCTATTTTGTAGAGTTCTGTCTTAACCTATGACTTATTGATGAGGTAAATGTTTTTTTTCCAAGGATTAAAACTTTCACGTAAATTTCGTCAATTTGCGAGTTTACTGCATCACCAATGCAGCGTCCTATTTTGCGAGACATTGTGATATGATTGATGAATTTTAATCATGAAGCAGTTTTTCAATTTTTCTGTTACATACAGTTCATGTAAACACATCTTTTCCTTTAAAATTGGCTTTCCTCGTTCAAAACCTCTATCCAGAACAAAAACTCAACTTCCTTTAAAGGTCACCTTAAAAACATCCATTTCTGCGATTGTTTTCATTTTATCACCAACAGCAACCCTCCCAGCTTACGGCACCTCTGGCCCAAAAATAAAAATTATCAATCCATTGATGGAAACAGCAATCATGGGCTTCACAAAGTTTCTCTTCTTCTGCTGGCTATGATTTTTTCATTGGGGTTGAAATCATTCAGGGTTGCCAAGATTTCTTCATCTTCATATTTCCTGACTTTCCCTGACATTCGAATGAAACTTCCACTTTCCTTTTTTTCCTTTAAATTACACTCACTTCTGCTAAGCACTAACGCATGAAATTCCCTGACTTCTTAGGAAAATTCACTGACTTTTTCAGGTTGTTGAAAATTCCCTGACGTTCCTAGTTTTCCAGACTGCCTGCAATCCAGCAGATGTTACTTCAAGAGACAGACTGATCAAGATTGAAGGGGACAAACTTCTCTGTCAAAATATATCTGACTTACAGTATATAACAGGATACTGTTGAGGGAAGGAGGTTCAGAATGGCTGATATTTGCTTCTGCATCAAACCAGCGTAAACATAAATGAGGTTTGCATTGAGCATTGGAATATCCTTAAACGTTTGCCCCACACAGATAATAGAACTCCTCTACTTTCAAAAACCTTGAGATTTGCTTCTGATAAGTTCAACGAGAAATCATCATGAGCCTGAGCTGAACTATATCAGCTGCCTTGAAGCTTAGTGTCATGTCAGAATGAAAGAGTAAGATGCTACCAATCACTCACCAATGAAGACGGAGTGTATGAAGGAATGCTGAGAGACCTTCCATCATGACTAAAATGGCAACAGTGAACACAGCCCAGAGGGCAAACATTATAAACAATACTAGAGCACCTACGTGGCTCTCTCTTTGGAGTCCAATCTTCAGAACCATGCCCCATAAAACGTCCGACAGTTCTGCAAAAGGAATCAAAAAGAAAGATGTTAAACTGTGAAGAGCGTTGTAAAAGAAGTGAGCATTTGCTTTGCGTTCAATGTCAATTGCAGAAAACCAAAACTATTGTTTTTACCCAAACAGAGTGGCTAAATAGGTTGAAAAATGTAGATCTCACAAAACCTTCGAGGCATCGGGAAAGGGTTTGTATCTACCTTGCCCAGTTGCACAAACAGAATTTTCGACTTAAAAAGAAGTGCTGTTGAACGCTATAATGTTGAATTTCTGCTTAACCCATTGACTTATGATTTAATTTGACCCTGCCGGGCCAGGAATTCCGATTTAATTTGGCGAAAATCAGCAACTTTGAACACTTCAAAATAATCCAGAAATTATTTCTCTAAAGGTGAAAATTGACACAATAAGCATTCACAATACAACGTTTGAGAAAAATGGTGAAAACTTTGAACGCAATGATTTTTTAACGTGGTTTATAGCTGTCAAAATCGCAAAAATCGCAAAATCAGCGAAAATCAGAAAATTTTGAGGTTATTTCATGTGCGAACGCACAGTAGTATGAAAATTTCGTAACAAAACAAGAAATTACCGCACACAATAAGTCATAGGGTGGCCGCACTACTCATATGAACATTGATGAGAATGCAATATACCGGAGAATCGCCGAAATAACGCTAATAATCAGCGGACGGCTCTGAGCCGTCATTTTAGAGCTGGCCTAGCCCTGCGATGACGGCTGGGAGCCGTCATTTTAAGGCAATGGGTTAAAACTAAGGAGAGTCCTTCAATGAGAACATATAATACTGGACACTCAGGCCTATAGGTTGGGTAGCCAGAGTATTCCAATCCGTCCTCTAGTTGTCAGGTGTGGCTTCTCTGTTGGTTTTCTTGAAAAATGTGTTTAATTGTATACTTAAACAAGAATGGACTGTTATTGGCAATTTTGCGACATTGCAATAAAGGCTCTTGGGCGAAAAATTGATTAAATTTTAATTCTAACTTCCTTTGTACTTTACCTTGGTGCAAATACGATTTTCTAAAAAGACTCATTTACATTCTTGTCATCCCTAAACGATTGAACAACATCAATGGACCAGTAGACAAGGTATACATTTAAGCATTTTCAACCCAGTATTTAACCAAAATTTCACATGAAAAACGATTCTTGCAACGAAAATAACTGAAATCAACTCCTGACTAAGATATTTAACATTACATGACACTTAAATTCAAAACTGCCGCTCATGAAAAAACAAAAGTTAATATGAATCAAATCAAGCACTAAACATCTTTTTAACAGTCTCTGCAGTATGAAAATTTGGCAACCTGAATCTCGATGCTTCAGCTCAGCTGTTGAACGTTTTCAACACTTTGAACAACAAAAAGTGCAGAGGGAGCACCGATCAATTAAGAAACCTGCCAAAACCGTTTTAGTGCGAGAGTTGATTAAAGTGGACCACTGTTCTTCTTGTGAACAGGGAATTCCAAATTTTCTTCACCAATGTAAAATAAAAACATTGATATCTTAGTTATGAGTTATTTAAGTAATTTTTATTGCACACATTAAGTTACATACAGGGTGATCCAAAAGTCCCTTCCACCCCCTCTAACTTTTTACCTAATTGAGATAAAAATTTGAAACTTGGGGGATATTCCTAGGTCAAAGGGAGCTACTTTTTGGCTCCCCTAAAATTTTCAGGGGGCCCCCCTTGGGGGGGCAACGGCCCCCAACTTGCAATTTTCAAATGGGAAGACCCCCTTTGTGATAGCTCGTTCGAAAGAGCATAAAAAAAGAAAACTTTTTGCGCAAACCCGAAGTCAATATCTCAAACCGTTTCAAAATGGCGGCCGGTTAAAGTTCAAAATGGCCGAAATTTCACACCGGTTATTTGTCGATGGATTTGCGCGAAAATCGGTATGTAGGGGTATTTCGACACGAGAAAAACGAATTTGACGTTAGATTTTCAAAAAAATCGAAATTTCCAAAATGGCCACCGGTTAAAGTTCAAAATGACCAAAAATTTATTTTTGTATAAATCTAAGTTCAAATTTGTTTATCTTATGCCAAAATACTCTCAAATTTCAAGTTTTAGGCAAATCCATCAGGAAAAAACCAAGGTGAAAATTTTCGGCCATTTTAAACTTTAACCGGCGGCTATTTTGGAAATTTTGGTTTTTTTGAAAATCTAACGTCAAATTCGTTTTTCTCGTGTCAAAATACCCGTACATACCGATTTTCGCGCAAATCCATCGACAAATAACCGGTGTGAAATTTCGGCCGTTTTGAAATTTAACCGGCCGCCATTTTGAAACGGTTTGAGATATTGACTTCGGGTTTGCGCAAAAAGTTTTCTTTTTTTATGCTCTTTCGAACGAGCTATCACAAAGGGGGTCTTCCCATTTGAAAATTCAAAGTTGGGGGCCGTTGCCCCTCCGAGGGGGGCCCCCCTGAAAATTTTAGGGGAGCCGAAAAGTAGCTCCCTTTGACCTGGGAGTATCCCCCAAGTTTCAAATCTTTATCTCAATTAGGTAAAAAGTTAGAGGGGGTGGAAGGGACTTTTGGATCACCCTGTATGAAATTCTGGTAAGGACATGTATCAGAATGCTTACAATCGTACCTTGTCTATTCTGCCGTGCCAAGGAAAAACGCTGTATGAACCTTCAGGCGTTGCCAAGTTTCCTTTAATAAAATGCAAATTTCCTGGTAAACTCATAACCATTTCCCGCCCAATTTTTCTAGATAATATTGTTTGCAATTTCACCGAGGATTTAGAAAATTTAAAGGAGAAATATTCATAACTTTCCTCAAAAATAATCATTTTATCAAAGTAAATTTGGCAGCTCTCGAATGTTCATACGGCGTTCTTCCTTGGCACGGCAGTACTAGAGTCCCTTTATACTGAGAGTCAAGACAATGCGAATCCATTTCTGATTGGTTAACCGGATTTAAGGCCTTCACAGTGTCACAAACAGGAATAAAGATTACATTTTCACCAATTGCAAAGATTATAATCTGGAATGGACCGAGGAATTTCGGGTTCGACAAGGAACAAACGGAATGAGAGAAGGAACGGAGAAAGGAATTTAAGAATGAGCCGATCAAAGATTACGAAAAACGTTCAAATTATGTAATCTTTATTCCCGTTTGTGACTCCATGAGGGGTGTTGTCTTGACTCTCAGTATAAAGGGACTCTAGGCAGTACTGGTCTGTTGCACAACTCCCCCCCCCCCCCCCCCCNCGGAAAAAAAGTAGGAATATAAATACTTACGTGCATGAGCGAGGGAGAGCGCCCAGAGTCGGAGGTAGGACGCAGTGTGCGAGACCGTACTGAGAACGTACTCTATCGTGTGAATGACCTGGTGAATGAAGATTTCACTCGGTTCCTCGTGTTCCTCCACAGGCTGGACATCTTGCTCCGTCTCCGTCTGTGCCATCAGAGTCTCCAGGGTTTCCTGCGTTTCGGCTGTGACCACGTCTGTCTCCACGTCCATGTTCCGACTTTCCTGCAATTCTATCCCCTGGTGAGCCTCGCCGTTACTCGAAAACTACACACACAACATACATGCAACATGCAACACTTTGGCTACCCAACAAATAGGCCTGAGTGTCCAACATTGTAGTATGTTTTCATCAGAGGGGTCTCCTTAACTTCAAAAAGAGTTTCTAGTTTGGTTAATATAATGAATGGGTCAGTTGCGCTGGTCACAGAATCGTGTTCTGATGCTTAAATCTTGTGGATTAGCTAACAATAATTAGATACATCCAAACCACAACTTACTGCGTTCAATATAAACCGAAATATCGCCCATTGAAAAGAGGCTTTTGACGTCATCCACCACGGTAGTGACATCCTTGGTTCCTTCCACCTTGTTTTCATCCAAGTTTCATGTTGAGTAACCAGTTTGTCACTGACTGACGGAAGCAAGGTGGAAGAAACCACGGGTGTCACTACTGTGGTGGATGACGTCAAAAACCCGACTTTTCAATGGGCTGTATTTCCGTTAATATTGAACGTAGAAAGTTGCGGTTTGGACGGATTTATTATTTTTAGCTTATCTGCAAGAGTCCGTCATCAAAAGACGATTCTGCGACCAGCGCAACTAAACCATTAAAGGTGAAGCATAAATTATGAATTATCAATATTTTCTTATTTGAATTTATGGTAAAGAATCCATTATTAGGATGTTTGTTGCGAACACCATCATAATCAAGCCTTTTCCATGGGTTCAAACAGTAGGTCAAACGATCCATAGCATGACGTATCACAGAACTTTAAGCTCTCTGACTTTCCAAATTTTCATTTTTAAACAGAGTTACATCTAGGGATCTACCAAGCAGATCTCCAATATTGTTCTTACAAATGTTGGACACTCAGGGCAGCAGAAAGAATCGACTACAGCTTAGGAGAAAAAATTATTTCTCAACAAATGTCTTCAAGAGTTTGACAACCAATTACTTTCAGTTGCATAATACTCTCCTCCGAATTGCTGGGGGACTTACTCTTAAATTTTCAAGCATTTCCACTCCAAAGCTGTAGCCAGCAGACAAAAAGATAAATGCTGAGTGCCGCTACGAAAAGTCTGAGAAGAAGAGTTCTTGCCATTTTAAGGCTTCCCATGATAAGAAGAGTACTGGCAGTCTATGATATCCTCATTAAGCAAAGAAGAGTTTGAAAATCAACTTATTCTTTCAAAAAGATGTATTTATACTAATATATGTGATGAAATCTTTGAAAAATGTGTTGCAAGATTGTCACAAAAAAGTAAGAGGGAAGCAAGATGACCTTGAAGTCACTATGTAGTTTGAACACCGATTGTGTAATTAAGATAAAATATTGTTCACATAATGTTACCAATGTTTGTAAAATTACTGAATTGCCTCTATCAAACCGATTTCAACTACAAATACCGAATTAAGCAAACATTTGGAATACTTAATTACTTCTCGTCAGATTCTTGACTTACTTCAGTACGCAATCCTGTTCTTGAATTTGACTCGGACAGATTATGATTTGCCTAAGCCATCTTTGAGAACTTTGGGTATTCCAGAGTACTATTCTCAGTAAGACCAAAGTTTTTTAACCATTTTTACATACATATGAGCCGCTTTTACAGTGCTCTCTGACGCTCTGCGACGCCTAGCTGCAACATAGCCCTACCCTCCCAAAGCCCCTCCGGAGCTTCAAACATTTTTTCGAGTGTTTTATGGCAAGATCAATTTTACCTCTGGAAAATGAAGATTTAACCAAAGAAAAAAAACCCAGGTTAGCTGTCACTGAGAAAGAAATTTTAAGAGAATTATTCAATCAATCACTCTTAGATCTAATCAATTGTTTTTAATTTTCGATCGTGCAGGTTTTAAACTACACCTTGTCCTCTGCAGTTTTGACGGATATTGGGAGATCCATACATTTGACACTACCTACCTCTTCATTTCATAATAGGCAAATCATGAACTACTAATTGTAAAATACTTTTCTTTCTTATGGCTGGATGTTACAATATTTGCACAAATGATTTGTCGATACCGAAAACTTCGATTGAAAATAGTTTTCAAAAATTTGCTTACTACTGTTTGGTTGTTTTCCTCTAAACTTGGCATGCTTGTGAGGTTACCTGCTTCATATCTTAGTGGTATTCCAATTTTGGAGCAAAATATGAAAAGAGACAAGGTCTCCAAATTTCCGAGAGGAGTTTATACAATATTTCAACGAGCTTTGACGAGGATGAACAAACTACACAGAAAGCATTGGTGTTGGATCACCATTTTCAAGCTATAAGCATTCTGAAAATATATAGAAGAGACATATTCAAAGCCGACTTGTCTGATCTGAAAGATACGAGAAGTTTTCTTTTACCATTAAATTCCCAAGACGACAAACGGCACAATTAAAGCTACCCAAAAGCTCAAATTAGAACTTCCAAGTTCGCAGTTCGCAAGTTCGTGAAAGCAGACATCTCATAAGCAGCTACGGAAGTACAGACTGTCCCATTGTCTCAGCAGTCATGATTTGGCAGATAAAAAATTAATATGTGTCGATAATGCTTTTTTGTCCTTCCATTCCTTCTTTTTGACGGTCTACACAAATATTTGTACACCTGATTCAACGATTCCCTGGACACACTTCTCACCAAAAAAAGACACAATGTTCATAAAGGACGGCACACTGAATGCTAAAAAATGTGGCGCCAACAAAAATCTTATATTATTAAAAAATACATAATTTTTAATTTTTAGAATCTGCTTCGCTGTATTCAACAATTTTAGCAAAAAATACTCTCATGTTTCTTATTCCTTAAAATTGAAAATTTTAACTAGAAGATGCCCCACCACTTGAATATTTTAACTGAATTTCCCTCCCGCATGGTGGTATGGTACGTACCATATTGGCTCATTGCAGTATCAAAGACTGTCCTGGTCAGTCACTGACCGAGACACTATTTACTAGAAAAAAAGCAGAGCACAACTGGGAAAACAAGAGAACACAGAAGAATGTATATTCGAATAGCACTGTTGAGCATCCAATCGACTTACGTGACGTTTAGTGGGCTTATTGGCAAAATATATAAGGTAGATCGGTTTTCCGAATAGCATGACCGGAATACAGAGGAACGAGAAAAAAACGATAAGTCTCTGAATAAATTCCTGAAAACAAAAACACAGAGGTTGTCAGAAAATGAAGAAGAAAAATCAAACCAGAAATGGGTTACAGCAATGGGTGCAGCGAAATTATTGGGAAACTGAAGCTACTGATAAAATGTATGTTCAGAACATTTCCACAACAAATTTTAAACCAAACTGAAGTTCTATCGGTAATGGGTTTCCATGACGCAGTTTTTCAATTGAAAATAAACAACACTACATACTCCATTTATCAGACACACTCTTTTCCCTGCTTTCCAAGTTAAGTTTAATACGTAGAATTACGCTTGTTGTCTGTTTTTAATTGGAGGATTATGACACATGACAGTAGCCATTTTGAGCTTCCCATGGAAATGCGGGAGTGAAGTGGCTTATCTGTGTCAAATTATGTTTTTGCTAAGGTAGACTTTACAAGCAGGAGGCTCCAAAAGGCGCAAATCATCTACGCAAATCCAGTGTTTGGAACAAATTTCAGACTTTTCCAATGCGCTCATCATGATATTTCAGCTCTTTCCAGCAGAAACAACTCTTCCGGCAAAAGTTTGCGATAAACATCTTGAAGATTTTGGAAAAGTTTGCAGCAAGCTGAACTGAGTAAACAAAAAAGAGTGCAATAATTGTAGATACCTGATTATCATACATATATTCGTCACAGCCTGGAAATGGTTCGTTGTTTTTGAAGAGCATCATATTGATAAACATAATTAGGATAGATGGTGCACATCGGGGGCTGGTCTTTAGCGCTGAAACATAATTCGATAGAAAATAATGACTAAAAATCAATTTTTTCATAGGAGCTCAAGTTGATTGCTGTAAAATTATCAGGAATTTGCCTCCCTCGTAAAATTTTAGGAGTCACCTTGGCTGGAGAATTCAATTTTTGAGAGCCATCTAAAATTTTCTAGGAGCTAAATTGACCTTTGGTCCGCGTCTCTGTCCCGCTCTTGAATCTTTTCTTTCTCAGGCTGTACATTCGTTGCGTAGAGAGCTCTATGGATTTGTTCTTCAACAAGTTGCTTCATCATAGACTGATTCAGTAGCTACATCATAATTCAAAAGTAAAAAAAAACTCATAACCTTGTTTTTGAATTTTGATTCATGTCCTTTCCGTCATGGTGGTAAAATGCGCCCAAACGTTTCTTACAATAAAAATTTCTCTTGTTTAATGAGTCTTCAATTGATTTGTGACCTGTCAATGACTAAATTGTGATGAATTAATACACTTGACAGACGAAGAATTTGTACATGAGGCTATGTTAGGTTATATTATTTGTTTAGGTTTGAACCGATAGTTTGATATTATATCAACTGACGTAGTCACTGAATCCGTCTATTGCAAGTTTGAAAAATTCAGCAGTGGATGTCACAATGGCCCAGCCTTCCCAATTTTTAAGCATATTTGGCGCATGGCACCCAGGGAGGCCAGAATACTGAAAATTATTAGTACTCAGTTTCTTTCCACTTTAATAAATACGTGTGAAAGAGGAAAATCTTGAAGTTACTTATCACCTTTAATGCTTAATGACTTTTGGAGGAGTACTTTGACATCAACTTCCAGATGACCGGCTGAAGTCATCATTGTTTCATGATCAAACAAAACACCAAAAAAACCAATATAATGACATTTAAAGTTCATTCTCACAAATATATCAATGTTGTGAGCAACCCAAAGATCATACAGCTGTCTTACAGATGACATCCAAACTGACAAGAGAAAAGGAAGATTGAGTGAAACTTGTTTAAACATTCCCCGAAACGGGGATGGGAGGGTCAACTATCTCACACTCAGTTTTTTCCTTTTTTTCTCAAGCCTATGCTACAAACTCAGTGTTACCGTTCTGCGTAATTGAGGGACTCCGCGTAGTGGCTGCATAATACGTAATAACTGCGTAATTTGAAGAAATCTGCACAGATGCGAAATCGTACGTAATTGTAGTAGTAATAACAACTGTGTAGTTGTTTTTAAAAATTTCAGTTTATTATTGCCATTTTTAGGTTAGGTACACCTTGCCTGGTCTTGCTGATCTTGGTAAACCAGTGGTATAGGATCGTAGTGAAGATAGTTTTTTACCTAGAAGTAATGTTACAAATTTTGCTTCTAGATTCTTACCTTACACAGGAAACAAAAATATTCCGGAATTTTAAAATAAGCATAAAATTGTGCGTAATTTGACTTAAATTGCATAATTGCAGCGTAATTCAAAAATTTTTCTGCGTAATGGCATGCGTAAATGGGAAATTTTTCGGCGTAATGTTGCGTAATTTGCTGTCGGGGTTGCGTACGCAAAACGGTAACACTGTACAAACTTATTGATTCGATAAAAAAGGAAAACAGGAATTTAATCTGAACTTACGGTTCTGAGGACCATATAGAGTCCACTTCATGAACATGAGCATGACCATGTAAAAAAATAGAAGGATAAGAAGGATTAACTGAGGTAGGAACTCCAAAATAATACTCATTTTCCTTTTGAAGTGGCTGAAATCAAACAGAAAAAAAGACACTTAAGAACATGTGGGCAATTACATCTAATAGAAACTATGGGCTCTTTGTCAAAAATGAAAAAAACTGGTTTTACTACACAAAGGCGATAATGAATATGTTCTCTAGTTTTCTCTGTAAAATTCTTTTGAAAAACAATTTGCTCACCTGCGAATTCCAACATTAATCCCTATGCAAGATGTGATTCGACGGCGTAAGTTCGCATTCACCAAACTCGTTTGCGGTGTCTGAAAATCTCCGCCGCTGTGTTATTTTTTTAAAGGAGAACAAATTGACATAATTCCTTGAAGTTCACGTAGAATTTTCTTAGCACAGAAAAGAAAAATCATAGCATTTTAAAGAATTGCTGTTGAGTAGTTTTCCGTTCATTAAATAAAGTATGACAGGAAGTCTGCGACAGCGCAGACTGAGTAGTGTGATTGCCGACTCACACCGTCGAATTGTGATATTCCACTGAAAAAGGCAAATTTTCAAAGAGAAAATGTTTTACAAACTTGATATCTATATATACATGTATAATAAAGGGATTTGAATTTTCCATGTAAACCAAACCGTTTTCTAGTATTTCTAGGAATTTAATAGGATCAGTTACAGCAGCGATACAGTTTCATGAATTTTTTCCCACTGTCAGATCTACATTTCTCGCCTCTTTTTTTGTCCTTGTGGGACCAGTCACTGCTGGCTCATATGGGCTAGTAAGGCAGTCAACGTGTTCAACAGACTAAGAGCTATACTTAATTGCTGATAATATACTATCTGGACATCTATTAAAAAACTAATAAAAGAAGATTTCCGGAGGACTTACATATGGTTGATAACACTCAGCATGACACCAAATATCATATGCACCACCCCAAATATGATTGATAACTTCATTTTGAATGAATTGAAGAAAACTATTTTATTGCTAGAAATCTGTAACAGAAAATTGTAAAAGTATAAAGCAGAGGAAATCTGAAAACCAGACAAAATTGCGATGGATATGCCGTGGCGAACATAGGTGTACCACAATAAGAAATGAACTACAGTTTACTTAGGGGCAATTAAAATTACACAAAGTCTTGTATGTATCTCCTATTCCATCGCCTTTCTTACTCTATAGCTCATTAGATTTGGGCATATATTGGTGCCTCATACTTTCATTTTATAAATTTTCAAGAAAACATTCAGAAATTTGCCTCCAAAAAAAACTCCAAAAATGTATATTTAATTATTTATAGACATTTTTAAAATATTTAAAAATTGAAAAATTGCAAAATTAACAGATGCAGCTTAAAATTAGAAAACTTGAACTCACTTCATGAATTAAATGAAGAACCGATGTATTTGAAGACCACTTGCCCTCTTTTTTGGAGAGCATTCCTCGTTTACAATCTAAGTGGTCCCCAAAACACGTTGACTTTTCATTTAATTTATAATATGTTTGGCTTTTTTAAGTCATATTTTACACTTTTCTTAGCTCTGTTTTCAATTTGATACTTCGGATATTTTCAGTTCTTGTTTGTAATTACAAATTCTGTACACTTAAAACAATTCCATTATAAATGAATTTTGTTCACTGAATGGGTCATTAACATTAATTTTTTTACGTGGATATTGTCACTTATATGAATTTTTTTTAAGTCATTCCCTTAAGGTATTAAGTGAGTTCAGCTTCCCAAATTGGTTTTCAACCATTTTGAACTTTTTTCACTCAGAATGACGGAGATAATCGATTTTGAAGTGATAAAAATCTGGACTCGATTCAAACAATATTTGTAGCAGTCTGTAACGACAGTCCGCATTCCCTAATAGTCTGAAGCCCAGCTAGAAACATGGCCTGGTTACATCATACAACTGTTGGCCTCTGATTGGTCAAATAATTGGCTTCTTCTCCCTTTAGAGGTGCTTTTTCAAACTTTAGAATGGGCTTTTCAGTTTTTCCAAGAAATTTTACATGGATTCAAGTTTTTAGATATGTTGCAGAAATGTTATGACACTGGCCCATTCTAGGCTATAAGTAAGTCTGCAGCAAAGTAAAAGATGAGTTTTATTGTAAAGGATGAAACAAATAAAAGGATGTTTACTTACTTGCCAAACGGGGTCGACTCCTATAGGATAAGGATATTGTTTGTATTGATAAACAGGATCTAAAGTGATGTCAGAGTTACTGAGAATAGTGGATTCGTTGTAATTGCTAAACCAGCTTGAGCCAAATGCATTGACTGCTTTCGAGAAGAAATCGTTGTAGATGATTCCTGTGTATATAGAGAACAGCCCCATCAGGAATATGATGTAGCGACCACCAAAAAATATGTTCCAAATCTGTTACAAAACAAACATCACAATCAACAAAGTTCACACGCTAACAATTAAATTTGCTGCTACTTTCCGGGAGCTTCCTGACTAAAGACGGGAAAGTGTGTAAGAATTTCAATTAGCTCTGGAAAACTTACAAAGCCAAATACAGGTTTAGCTCAACCAGATGACTTTCACTTCCAGAGATATTGGGTGAATTTCTGCGAATAAATTTGGTTCTCTTTTCAGCCAAATTTCGCAGAACTACCGACTGAAAAAGAAAAAAACATTTGCCAGGAGTCAAGAACTAAACTCTGCGGTTTGATGACTTGCGCCCAACGTTTGCATCCATCCATTTTTCCATCCACCATGGGAGGTGAGTCAAGAGCTTTGGATGTGGTAGTCATTGCTTCTAACATGAAAACCAAATGTCGTTGTCTCACTGTCGCCCGGAGGGAATTTTATATTGTTGTGACAGAGGTTGGCAGTAAGTCAAAAACTTAACTGGATCTACTCAAAGAAGTTTGCCAATGAGTAAAAAAAAATCTGTGACTTTTACTGAAAAGCTGATATGAAATATTACTTAGCATAACTTTCAGGATTGGATATGTAGGAGCACTTGTTTAAAGACAATATAAATGTACAATACATTGCACTCAGGACTATCAAAACATTAATTATAAAACATGATTATTATCCTGATCCATTCCTGCGAAAACTGGAGCAAAAAATAATATACCTACTTAATTTTTTATGCTAAACTGCAGGGTGACTAAAAACTTTCCATCATAAACATGTGAGTTAAGAAATCATGTTACGGAGAAAAATATAATTAAGTTTCCAGGATCATGAGTGATATGATCGTTGTCATTTACATCATTGTTGAGCGTTTCACTTTGAGCTGCTCTATACATATATATCTGACTTTCAGAATGATCGTAATGGTGAATATTTTACCTCATTATTTGATTTCTTCTTGAGAAACATCTGTTCAAAATAAATCATGATTCCTCCAAATATGGCTAGGATGGCTCCATGACCCGCATCACCAAACATGACAGCAAATAAAAATGGGAATGTGATAATTGTATACAGTGCTAGACAAAAAGACAAAAAGAGAAAAACCATTATTTGGTTAAATGATAGTTGCAGAGTGACATGGACAAAAAGTGGCCCTTTATCAAGGTGAGAAAAAGACCTCACTTATTTTAATAAAAATTCCTATTATTTTCCGATTAACAATCTACCAAAATGATTAGCGAAGAAAGCAATTATTGCCACTACCGTCCAAATTTTTATTCTGACCATTGTAAAATGCAAAAAATTTAAAGGAATCAAGCAACAAAGCAACAAATCAAAGCACATCTGCACCCTCTGAAGAATAACCCTGCACAGTGCTAAAACTTGCACTTGGATTTCTCAGGGTTACTTTTGATGAGTATTTCAAGAGGTAAATAAAATTTATTACTATTCGGTACAAATAATGGCATCACTAAACTTAGGCTTACTTTAGTTTCCCCCTATTATTAATATCAGTTCAGTTTATTATGTTGCTGACACTATTAAGTAACCTCTCAGAACAATTGACAACTTAATGCAGGATAAAAGCTGTGAAAAAAAATGTAAATCCCTTAGGAGACGCTTCAGAGAAGACCATACCTCTTTTTTCAACCGGTAACAAAAAAAATTTAAGAGCTGCACTCATTTTTGTTTCTGGTTGAAAAAGGAGGTGTAATCTCTACTGAAACATTCCACGGGCTTTCTCTTTTGTTTTGCAATCTTTATCCTATTTTAAGTTATTTCATCATGCATTTTGGCTGATTAAGTGTTTTCTCAGACTAAAACTTGGTGGAGCCTTTCTGAGTTTATAAACAGTCTTTTAAGAGAAGGACATACCAGGATTAACTTCACGATAACAAGCAATACCGTATGAATCAATTAGATTCTGAAAGCCCTCGGTAAATTTATTCGTGCGGTGAAATGTTGGAGGATTTTCGTTCGTCTCAATTACATTTAGAAATGATGGAATTGAACTGCCTACAGCTTTCTGAAACAAAATAACATGCTCAAATTCAATAAAAGAAAAATAGCAAGACCATTTCTCATTTTAGAACTTGAAGGGAGAATACTGGGCTTCTTGATTAGAGAGATCTGACAACAATCAGTACTTTGCTTGAGTCTTCTCTGTGTCTTGTCTTCTCAATCGAGCTTCATTTGGCAAAATAAGATTCCGAATTTGAAAAAGAGGAAATAGCTCTGTTTTACAAGTTTGCTTCATTTTTTTAATAATAGTAATCTCTGATTTTAAAAGCAATAAAATCTTGTGCAATCACCTCATGATTTATAGCTAATACACATTTAGATTCTATTCATTTAAATTTCATCGACATTTTTGTTCATGATTACAAAAAAAAAAGAGGAAACAATTGATATGACAAAAAAAAATGACCTGTTAAAAATTTATTTGAAAGATCTATACATCAAATGTGCTAACTTTTTTCAAGAAAAAGTCAAATCTTTTGCCAATTATCTATTTAATAGATATTTGACGCTGTCCTGGGATATCAGTGCTTAGATGATCTGACTTGCATGGTTGTTCAACAATTATCTGCATACATAGTTACCCCGTTGCCATCGTTACCACAATAGACAATGTGACAAATGTGACATTGTTAGACAATTGTGAATAGACCAGTTAACTTGCAGGGTCAATAGGCCATTGTTTTGGTCATGTTCGTCTGACTGCCTGATAGATAACTTTATGGATATTGTTCTACCAATCATTAAAGGGTATTTAGTTGCCCTCTTGGTTACTTATGCCACTAAGCGCAACAGGCAAAAAAATACTAGTATGCAAATGGGTTAAAGAAAATTAAAGCAGCGCACATTGCATCTAAAGAAATTGATAGAGCTGGCATGAAAGGTTTTGATACTTACACTACCATCTAAAAGAGTTTTGCGAATGAAGGTTAAATCATTGACGGGCACCCAACACTCTCCAATGAGGCATTTTTTTGTTACGTCCATGTTGAATAAGTTTAAGGTGTGATAGATTGCTTTCATCTTCCGGACTTGCACTGTCCAACCATGAAGCTTCTCCGCTACACTGCGTAACACAGTTTGCTTGTGATCTCGTGTTTGGTTTAATACCTACAATTGGAGAGTTGGAATAATAATTAAATGCATCTAACATTTCAGTATAATGTGAAGTGAAGTGGTAATTCGGTATCTTGGACACATACAGGGTGTCCCAAAAGTCCCTTCCACCCCCTCTAAAATTTTACCTAATTAATATTTTGAAACGAAACTTTGGGGATGTTCATCGATCAATGTTAGCTACTTTTGGGGCCCCCCAAAATTTTCGGGCCCCCCCGTGGGGAGGGGCTACGGACCCCAACTTTTTTTTTTCAAATAGCAACCCCTATCTTGTGATACCTCATTCAAAAGAGCATAAAAAACTAAGAATTTTGGCGCAAACCGCAGATCAATATCTTAACTTTTGACCGAGTTATGATAGGTCAAAGGTCAAATTGGACCTATTTTCAAAAAATCATAACTCCGGGTCAAATTATCGTAATGAAAAAAATAAAACGGGAAAATTTACCAAATTGTAAGCACTTTCAAGTAAAAATCACAGAAATTACTTCAAACTAATTTTAAGGGGGGCTTCGGACCCTCAAATACGTCCATTCAAAGGTTATTCAATTTTCCCGCGGAATAAGCCAATTTCCCCCAGATTTGCCTCCACATTATCTCAGTAAGGTCAAAGTCAGTTCAACATTACGTTGGCAAGTCCTCAAATTTCGGGAAAAGTTTAAAAAAACGAAATTTAAACGGTCAAATTTAATCACCTTAAATTTTCGAGAGAAGTTTAAAAAAACGAAATTTAAGGTGATTAAATTTGACCGTTTAAATTTCGTTTTTTTAAACTTTTCCCGAAATTTGAGGACTTGCCAACGTAATGTTGAACTGACTTTGACCTTACTGAGATAATGTGGAGGCAAATCTGGGGGAAATTGGCTTATTCCGCGGGAAAATTGAATAACCTTTGAATGGACGTATTTGAGGGTCCGAAGCCCCCCTTAAAATTAGTTTGAAGTAATTTCTGTGATTTTTACTTGAAAGTGCTTACAATTTGGTAAATTTTCCCGTTTTATTTTTTTCATTACGATAATTTGACCCGGAGTTATGATTTTTTGAAAATAGGTCCAATTTGACCTTTGACCTATCATAACTCGGTCAAAAGTTAAGATATTGATCTGCGGTTTGCGCCAAAATTCTTAGTTTTTTATGCTCTTTTGAATGAGGTGTCACAAGATAGGGGTTGCTATTTGAAAAAAAAAAGTTGGGGTCCGTAGCCCCTCCCCACGGGGGGGCCTCAAAAGTAGCTAACATTGATCGATGAACATCCCCAAAATTTCGTTCCAAAATATTAATTAGGTAAAATTTTAGAGGGGGTGGAAGGGACTTTTGGGACACCCTGTATGTGCTGACAAGCGAATTCCTCACGACACTAGACATTAGTTCTGAAAGAGAGTGATAGAGTGTTATAGATAGTGTGATAGAGTGTTATAGATAGTGTGATAGAGTGTGATAGTTCTGATAGAGTGTGATAGTTCTGATAGAGTGTACTATTTATCAGCACTTGCATGATGAGTAAGGCACACGTTCCATCCTTTTTGAGCGGTCGATATTTCTCCAGTTACGATCATATGGTTACATTATGCCCAAGAGCTTACATTAACTTTTACTTTCATCAAAACTTAAAATCCATAATTACACACTTCTAGTTAAAGGCAGAATTTTGTCTCTGGTGAACTACAAAATTTTGAGCATTTGCTCATCCAATGAAATTGACTTATTGCATGATTTTCGGTTGGGAAAAATATGCTCTGTACGGTTTAAATATTTTTCAAAACATACAAAAAAACAAATATAAAAAAAGAAGAAGAATATTTTGGCTTCGGATAGCTAACTCTTAGAAGTAAAAATTCGGTTTCAGAGAAATTGAAATAACTGGACAGCACAGTTTGAGGGACCAAATAGGTAAAAATAAGCACTCTAAAAAACAGAATTAGAACTTTTCATAAAACTTTTAGGTGAAGAGGGAAGGCAAGCAGCTTCTTGACACACATGTACACATTAAGAAATAAAAGCACTAAGTTTGAGTTATTTTCAAGTACAGCGATCCTTAAATCGTGTCATTTGGAACATTCCTTATTTTTTTTAGCCTTATTTAGGGATTATACTGACCAAAAACTACTTACTAAATTAAGATCAGCTAATCTTGTTTTTATGCCCTTTAGCAGTTCTTGTCTTTGTGTGTGCGAGCTAGGACATTGGTAGAATGATGCATGGAATCCTGAGCATACTTTTTTTACTCGATGTTTCAACTGCTCTCCTTGGAAGAAAGCTACAAAAACAGTCTTGTAAATTTCGTTCCCCTGCAAAGATAAACGATCACCATAGAAAATTTCACATCTTGTCTACTATGAATGAAAGAAGAATCCCCCCCTCCCCCAAATAACTGATACTTTGAAGTATAGACTGATTTAGTGGCTATATCATTCTTGCAATATCCAACACTACGGGGCACAGCCCCAGGAGCGCTGGGCACCCCCAAAAGCCGCTCTGCGGCCAGCATTTTTGTCGAAATCGCCCGCTTACAGTAAATGAGCAAATAATTTTAATTGAATAACAAAACGATGTTTCAAAGAAAAATTTCCCGCCTAACAATATTCTTGATGACTTTCTTCCTACTCTGAATTTTGATTCCTTCTTTGGAAGTCGACCTTGACAGGGCCACATACAACTGTCCATGACTAAACAATAAAGGCTCTGAAAGTAAAGACCCATTCTATTAAGACTCTGGCCTTCCTCACTCCTGCCCATTGACCGTCTTACTCCCCTTCCTCAACCCGTCTGTCGAGCGTCTTAAAAATGATTTTAATAGAATAGTGAGGATACTGATTTGCGATAAATTGGATAATTGATCGGCAATTGTTCAAGACAAAATGATAGAGCATAACCTCATTTTCAGCTTCTGGGTGAGTTAATTGAACTAATTCAATTGTTTCACTGATGAGCCATAAATTAATGAATGACTAATTACGTACATACATACATACATTTTAATCTCTCCTCTAAGGTGTTAATGGCTCGATTGTTAAAAGCACCAAATAAGCGTATCTACCAACCAACCATACATAAGAGCTGCTGATGCAGCAGTCTCTGGCACTCCGCAACACCCAACTGCCACAGTGCCCTGTCATCCCATAACTCGTCAGGGAGTTGGTACTCCCTCGTTTTATTTGAAATCCCCTGTTGCTATCCTTATTGGGCAACTCCTTTGTCTGATTTGGGTAATTTCCTTTCAGTTTTGCCTCTAAGATTCTTAACTTTAGGACAGATTTGAGAAACAGCTAAGGTCCTCAAAGCTAGGGTCTTTCAATCTTACCGTAGCAGGGTCTTCCAATGGTTCCTCTAATTCTGCTTGTCTCAGGAATACATTTCCGCGACTGATTCGCCACAACATTCTCTCAAACGCTGGCACTCTTTCCCGCGGCACAACTCCAGCGACAAACCTACCATCAGACAAAAAAATCTTCCATTACTCACCGAGTACATGCGGAAAAAACTTATTGTCCCTCTCAGATGATTAAAGAGAATTTGCTACATTAACTGTAAGATGCATGTTCCAGTTTGGATTCAGAAAGGGAATAAATAATGCTGGGCCTAAAGTTTTAGCATTCTTGTAAAAATAGAGAGAAGTTGGACTTTCCTAGGACACGCTTCAGGGGCAGCATCCATCCGTGAATGGTGTATGCTGAAAACTGAGTGCTGCTTGGACATTGGCAGCATATCGACGGAGTAAGTCCGCAATCACATATCTCATTTGTGGTGTCTGAAAATCTCCGCCTCTATGTTATGCTTTTAAAGGAGAACAAATTGACATCATTCCTTGAAGTTTATGCAAAATTTCCTTTGCACAGAGAAAAAAAATCAAGGCAGTTTGAAAGTATTGCTGTTGAGTTGTTTTTCGTTTAAAAAATAAAGTATGACAGGAAGTCGGCGACGTCGCAAACCAAGTTATGTGATTGTTGACTTACATTGCCGATATGGTTCTTGTCTAAGAAAACTTAGAATAACAAATGCAGGAATAATGGTTTGCTTCAACTTTCCTACAGTCAGTTTTGCTCTTGAGAATTTGTCAATCTTGAGACTATGCTTTTCACAAGCATGAAGCAATGAAAATGTCTCCGAAAAGTTTTTTTTCTTTTTAAAAATGAAATTCGCAAAAAAAGTTGTTGGAAAAAATGTTCTAGAGAAACATCTAGGTTTGAAGAGACCAAAACGAAATTAACACTAAAATGAAGACATTTAAAGTGAAGTAGAGGATACCAAGATGCGACAATACATAAAAAAAGAAGAAAAAAAACATGAAACATAATTGGTGAACAAAATTCGAACTTATGTATGATGCCAAAATTCTTCAAATAATTTAAATAATAAAGATAAAAAAAACTCTTGGAACAAAAGCAACTCATAGTGCTCTTGGCATTGATAAAATACAAATTTCAATGTTTTTACTGAAGAGCAACCTCACTGTCTTGGCTCTAAAAAGTTAAGGAAGGATACATTGAGGTTGGAAACTTTCATGGGGCGTGTGTCTGAAAAAATTGATAACTCTGTTAAGAAATACATTCAAGCTGACGATGCTGTCATCTGAAATTTGTGTGGTAGCTTTTTCAGTGTCAATAGAGATTGACTTGTTTCAAAAAAATGCAACGTTGCACAAAAGGAAAGTATCTGAAGGAGGGATTAAAACTCATGACTAGTTTTGCTTTTCGATGTGAGCGAGTGCAGTCTTAAATTACTGCATCCTCCTTAAAACTTCCGGCGTAGATAAACTTATTTCATTTTAATATGCATAAAATACCTATAACACATGTTAAATCTCTTTTCCCAGACAAATTTAATTGTGAGTGTGAGTTTAACGTGACAGACAGAGGATGGAAGCAGCATGTCTTCTCCAAGAGAGAGTAAATCAATGGAAAAAGGTATTGACCTCCAGATTTAAAAAAAGAGGCACAGTTAAAAGAGGATCCTTACCCTAATCTACCGCGAGAGGACTGCTGCTGGCTTTCATCGCTGATGAGTGCTTTCGTGAGCGAGTCGTTGTTGCCCGAGCCACTGGCGCCCTCTTGCTGTTTTAAACAGAAACTCTGAGAAACAACACGAGAGAAGAGTGCAAACTACAATGCCAAACAAAACTACAAGCAGCTAAAACCATAAAATCAAAAGTCAAACAAGCAAAAATCGGTGTGAACAAAAACACTTTCGCTGTGTAACATAATACTGAAGGTGAAACTACTGCATTTGAGCCATCGTAAGAACTAAGAAATACAGTTTTTGTCAAAAGAAAAACTTATTCAGGCATGCAAGGGACTTTTGCAGAGGGATTTTTCAACGCATCAGAATGTGATTTCTTTATTGAAAGATTTTTTGTCACCTAGTCATTCTAAAAAAATTAATTAAAATGAACTGTTTCCATTAATTCAATTAAATGAAGAGGAGAATGTTCAACAATTTAAAACTCTAGAACATGCAGTAATGCTATAATAAACAGCAACAGAGTTTTCAGAGCATTATACTTTCTTTCAAGTTTTACGAAAAATGGAATTGACGATTCAAAATATTTTAACCCACTAAAGTTCTCCGTTACCAAATTTTAGTAATGAGCCACTCTGCAGGGTAAAAAAGTATGTACAACAGCCCATGATTTCTCATTGAAGTTTCCCGCAGAGCATGTTAAAAACATCAAGAACTTTCAAGATTAACTCATAACGTTCAAGGATTACAGTATAAAGTCAATTCAAACTTCCCGCTTACGGAAGCCATGATCAACATGGGCATAATTAGGCACTGAAATCAATTTATTTAATAGGATAATAACTAAAACTTGGTTTCACTTGCATAGCTTTCCTCTGTTAATACAAGGTATCTTTAATTTCGTCAACACAAAAATTTAGTATCCTGGAAAATTCTTCCATTTTAAAATACCAATACCAAAGTTAGCTTTAAGCTCGATTGACACTTAGATTTGGACGTATTTCTGCCAAACGGAACTATGTGTATGAAGACATGAGCCCTGAGACCTATAAGAATATATGCATAACACGGCTCACGTCATAATGCACAAAGTTCCGTTTGGCAGAAATTAGTCCATTTAACTCGAGTAGACTCTGGTTTTTCAGTGAGCAGGAAAAGTTAATTAAAGCGGACAAAAACCGTCTTATTCCAACTTATTAGGTACATTTGGAAAACTTTAATGGTTTCATTGTATTCTGCGTAAAATTTCGATGAAGAAACATTATGCGGCGGTTCTCAATTTTGTACTCCGTCTAGTGGTCCATTGAGGGAAAAAAAGAAGAGACGAGAGAATGGACAGAGACAGGGTGTCTACTAGTAATAAAAAACCAAAATTGGGGACTTTTGGAGACTTTTAGAGGTGTAAATCAAGAAAATTTGGGACTTTTCCCCCGAAACAGTAAGAAAAATGGAGCTAGTTAGAGCGTTAAAAGGCGTATTATATACACCTCATTTTAAAAGTCATGTTGAACCGATGAAAACACAAAAAACCAAGCAACACTTCAGTCATTTCTATTCCTGGTTATACCGGGCACCGCGGCTGGCGAGAAACATTGAAAATGCCAGTGTTTAGGACGATTTTTGTCATTTTTTGGGGACCTGAACAAGAAAATTGGGCACTTTTGGGGACGTCCTTCCAAAATCGGCGATAATCGGGGACATTGGGGACTTTTGGGGACTGGTAGACACCCTAGGAGAGTAAGGAAAAAAACAACTTTGGAGGCTTATTGATGTTGCGAAACCCGACTAAGTTCAGCATTTTTCGATGAATAGGTACGGAATGTCATTTTCAGAGGGCACCTTGAAGCAAAGATCACCATTCAAATACGGCAGCTAAAGATTTGCAGCAAGACCTGTAGCGACTAATAGTGAGTGCATTGCTCAAAAAAGTATGCAGGAATCCCTTTAAACTATTGTTATCTTTTTCCAATCCTTTTCAAATGAATTTAGGAAAAAAGGCCATGCATTACTCTTATCAACAGCTTTAAATAGCTCTATAAAATATTCTAATTTTACCCTTATCATGTCAGTCTTTGGACCCAGAAAGAAAAATGCACGCTATAGGTATGTAGCAAAATCAAGAAAAAAAAAAAAAAAAATACGAGAGGGCTTGTTCATGGTTTTTGTTCGTTTTCAGTTGAAATACACCAATGCTACTGGTTATAGCTATAGTTAAAATTTCATATAATATGGATCACCACTGCTATAGTTTTCACGATCAAAGTTTCTTTTCAATAAGTGATAAAAGCTCCAACTCCCAGTATGAAAGAAATTGAACAAACCCTTCGTAACTGTGTAGTAAGGAAAAACTCTCAAAAGTGACGGTTGAAAAAAAAAAACAAGATCATCAATTCTTTACTTACATCCAGAATATCCAAGTCAAGCTCAAAAAAGACAAAACTTTATAAAATTATTCTGCTATGATTTAATTTGTACATCTTAGTCATTTTTCTCTTCAAAGGGCATTTCAAGGGCCTGATGCAATTTGCAACCAAGACATACTCACATTTCTCGTAACTTTCCTCATTGAAGTCTTAGCACATGGTGTATTTTTCCCCCTTCATTCACCTAGGGTTGTTCAAACGAATCCTTGTCGATAAGCTATCACTGTATAATGTTTAATAATACCAATAAACCCCAAAAATCTTGCTGTTGCTCGATTCTATTGATTCAATCAGAACTGTTTCAGCTCTTAGTTAGAGTATTCTATCTTTTGGACTGCATGGCCGGTAAAACTGGTATACATGGCAATAGCTCATTTTCTCCAGCTCCAAAAACATTTGATTGCCATCCACTTCTTTTCGCCGGTTTTTTAAGCTATTATTTTTGGGAAATTACTCGATCAGATTTGAAGCAAAAATGAAGGAGGGAGGAACATACACACATCATATTATTTACATCAACTGCCTTCTTGGGGAATGCCGTAGTGCTACACAAAACGATAGAAGATAAAACTGTGAATGATTGAAGTAGGCCAGGACAGAAAAAAAAGCAAATTTTGGAGCTGAAATTTTCTTTGTTAAGTTACTGAATAAGCATAAGCTGCCTCAGGTCAAACTTCGAATTCCTCTTTCACCTGCACAGAACTTTTAATCAGACTATCTTACTAACTTTACCATTTACATTTTCAGTTATACTATTACTGCACGCTCCTGAATATGAACAAAGCTTTTTGGCTATGAAAATATTTGATGAATTATGTAGTGAATTACCTTTTTCCTTGTTTCTTAGTTACCTACTAGATGGATATTAGAGCACAATATCTCCAGTGAAACAAGGCATAAACTGGGAAATATAATTAACGATTTATCTACAGGGTAACATGTTTTCTTAATTTCAAAATTTCCTGACATAATTTCCAAACAGAACGGGCATATAAATGCTTTTCACAAGTCACATCTGATTTAAAACTTGAGCTGTAGAAATAGAGCGCTTAAAACTGTAAAACTGGGACTATTTAAAAGTTTAAAAAGGATATGAAAATCCAAGGTTCAATTGTTAAACTTTGGGTCGAATGTTTCCCTTGTTTTGTGTTTATGTTTATGTCAATGTCATGCATGATGCTCAACGTCTCACTTGTATATTTTCCAAATAAACTTATACTTTCACTCACTCCCAGTATCTCAGAGTATTACCTATCTTCCTCCCTTTCACCTATTGGTATTAATTACTAACTTTTCCCTGAGATGTTACATGAAATTGCATGACTTTCTTAGATTTTTGCTGACTTTCCTAGAAAGTATTACAGAGGTGTCACGAAAATTAGAAAATGAAAATCCCTGACATTTCCCTGATTTTCCTGACACATTTGAGTAAAATTTCCTGACAATTACAGATATGGAAGATGTTTAGGAAGACATAATTCAAAATATTATTCGCGTCAAATTTTTTTTCCAGACGTCAAATCCATTCTGGAAAGGAAATAAAGGTGAATTGAAAAATTTTCCCTGATACTTTCATCATTTTCCCTAATATTTCTAGGTATTCCCTGACTGAGACATTCCTATATTACCTCTTCTAATCTTTTTTTTGTGAGTTTAAGGGAAGATACTTTCTGCACTTTTCTGCCTATAGATTCAATTTTTTCTTGCACGGAAAAACAACCTCTCTCCAACTTTTAGGAGCATTGACGAAGTTTTGGAATTCACGACTGGACAGCTCATCGGAGCGCCATCAAAACAGTTAAAGATTCAACACTGCAAGAGAGGTGCAACAAGGAACACCAAAACGAGCCAAGCTCCAGAACATTCAGCGATTGGTGAGAGAGAAAATTAATGTGCAACAAAGACAGGAGGTGGATGGGAATCAATACATACCTCTTGAAAAAATGCGTGCGCTTTTTCCAACACATACTTCAGTTCTGTCAATTCTAGATAATTTGATTTTAAATTTACAGCGTTGTGACTGAGTTCAAGGATTTCACTTTCCGTCCTCTCTAAATGTGACTGAAAATAAGAAAAAAATATCGTTAAAACTAATTTTGTGAGCAGCGAATACATTAAAGATAGCATGCATGACAATGTTAGGTCATGGTTTTCAATAGATGCGGTCCAAATCTTACACTAAGAAAAACATGCCCTTCTTCACTAAAAAAATTAAATTTTGACATGGGAGTGATGATATTACATTTATGAAGATTGATCGTTCCTGAATCTGATGACACCCCAGGCTAACTTAATTTGTCCCCCCCCCCCCCCCCCTTCAAAATCACGATTTATTGTTCTTCAACTTTGACATACTACCGAAGAGCCAATTTTCAGAATCATTGTGGGGTTCTTTGCACTAAAGATTACAGAATGAACCCACCTAAGCTTTTTGTCATCTCATTTTATCAAAACCTCAACTGAGTGGCTCTCTCTTGACCTCATCACATTTCATTTGTGGACAGCCAAAGGCAGGTACGTCTTTTCGGCTGAGTCTTGGAAAGATTTGTTCAGAATGACAAGTTTTCTTGAATCATAAAATTCCCTGATTTTTCCTTGACTTTTCAGGGGGTTTGAGCATATAAGTTCCTGCCTTTCCCATGACTTTTCGGTGTTATTTATGACATAATTACTAGCGAAAATATGCTTTTCACAAAACATTTTTATCATGAAGTTAGTGTCTTATGACTGAAAATAAGTAAACATTTCAGCCTAAAGAAAGAATTCCATGGTCACACAGGATACTTCTCTAGGTTTTCAGGGTTGGGCAAGATTTCCAGACTTTTCCAGGATTTCAATAAACTGTAAAAAAAAACCTGTCAGTTGTATGTTCATTCTCCCGACGCTGAGGAGGCAAAGTTTAGTANGGGGGGGGGGGGGGGGGGGGGGGAGCGGCATGGAAGTCTTCAGAATTTCCTTAAAATTCATCAAAATTTGCAAAAATTGCGAAGAGGAAGAGCATTGCCCCCCTCTCTCCAAATGACGTCCCTTTCACTGAAAAAAAAAGCTATGGGCTATAAAGACATACCGTTCGTTCCGGGCTCAGAGGCCGAAAGTTAGGGGTGCTGGAGCCGTAGCTTCGGTTTCTCCGAGTGCTATGCCCGGAACTTTCGGCCTCAGAGGCCGAAAAAAAAACCTCCGGCCTTGGAAGCCGTATCTACGGGTTTAATATACATGCCGTTTGCGTTTCGGGCTCAGAGGCCGAAAGTTCCGGGCACAGCAACCGGAGCAACCGAAGCTACGGTTCCAGCACCCCGAACTTTCGGCCTCTGAGCCCGAAACGCGAACGGCATGTATATTAAGCTCGTAGATACGGCTTTCAAGGCCGGAGTTTTTCTTTTTTTTTCATATTGGATAGTGGGAAAAATAGCCCCCGGATGATAGGGGATGAGCGACTGAATGGAAGTTGGTTTACCTCGAGTTGAGTGATCTCGCGGGCGTTGGGGGCGGGCGGGCAGACGTTGGACTCGGGCACGAAGATGCGATCCTTGCTGACCTCGACCTCGATGTACCGCAGCTTCCGCTCCATCTCGTCGCAGCGCCGCACCTCGCTCACGAACTTCCGCTGAAAGGAGTTCACGCCCGCGTTCAGCTGAAACAACAAGCAAGCAGCGCACTCTGTAGTCCAGTCACCGCAAACTCACTCCGAGTACCTCCTCGATAGCTGTTGAGCTTTAAAAGAAACAATGCGCCCGAATATTTTAACTGATTTTAACGAATATCCATTTGTTCAGTGTTCACTAGAGAGCCTATACTGTTGTGATAGCGAAAAGAGCAGGAAGTGTCAAATTTTCGAAATCGAGTTTCCTACGAAATTCGTCTGATATTTTTTAGATGACATCACTGAATTAGCTAAAACAGCAAAATTCATCTTAAGGTGATTCGACGGACGCCATATTTTGTGTCAGAGCGGCATGCGATATATCGCATCAATGGGTTCCATTTTTTTAGCTACTCGTAATTTTTCTCCAATTTTGAGATCGCAATTCTGTTGTCACGAGACTAAAGCACTAACTGACTAAGCAATACGACTCTCTATTGATAACAATTTTAATTAAAGAACTAACATGTTTTTCAACGTGCATTAAATGGTTGTTTTCAATTCGCCTTCAGCTGCGTCGGCAACAATTGTCGTTGCGAATCTGTTGTACGTACCGATTTCAGCTCATTACCTACATACTCGACCCTCTGAAGGCATTTCATGTGCGAAAGCAATGCGCCAGCTGCATATGAAGCAATTGTTGTTACGAACATGTTGTGGGTGCTGATTTTAGCTCATTACATACTCGACTCTCAGAAGACGTATTTTGCAAAAGTACCGCAATCTGCTGGAGTGCGAACAAAGAAAGGATTAAGTTGATTTGATGAGAGAACTCATCTTTTTGCTCTTGCTGAGGTTTTAGACAGGTCAGTTGCTTAGAAAAAAAAGGGGGAAAAATTAAAGCGTCCTACGGACTTTGGACACTTTCAGCAAACCTAGTTCCACAGACCTGAATTCCACAATGGTCGAGGAATGAGGAGGCGCCATGTTCGAGTTGGTGGCATGTTTTGCGCAACCGAAACCAAAATCGGCAACAAAACGGCTCCTTTAAAAAGAACGTGGAGCCATGCGATTTCTACGACGTTTACGCTCTTTTTCAAACAAACCGTTCAACAAATGATTGAGGAGGCTGTGGGGCTGTGACACGCATTGAATCCGCTAGATGAATCATTGCATCCCAGCGGGTGGGCGACCTGGTCTCTCATCCTCTTATCTGAACGGATTCATTTCAAAAAGAACGATGCACACATAGAATTTGCGTGCTTGATAGTTCCTTTTGATTTATTTCATTTGAACATAGTTTCTTTTAGCATAAATGCATTCATTCTATTCATCTGTCACGTTGAACCCGCGGGACTTGTCAACGGCAGCCGCTACCGAGCTACGAAAAACCGCGTAAGAGCGTAAAGGCGTTGACGAATTTATTTTAATGAAATGTAAATTTTCTCGTAAAATTACGAGTGTTCTGCATTGAGATGTTCAGTGAATTTCATTCCGGACTAAATCTGACGATTCTAAAAATTTTCAGGGGAAAAACACATAACTTTCCTTGAAATTAACCCATATTGTCAGGGGAAATCTGACAACATTCGACTGCTCATACGGCGTTCTTCTGCAGTTCGGTAGCGGGTCACCGGGCGTGGCGCACTGACGAACAAAAGCCGACGAGAATGAAGATGATGCCGCGCGAATGCGTTGAGATTTACAGCCGTCGAGTATGAGGCACGCGCTTACAATTAAACTTTGCTAGAAACGCTCGAGATAAGGGAAATGGCAGAGGTCGGGCATGATTTGAAAACTTTAAAAGCGTACATCTTCGTGAATATGAAATTTCGATGTCTTGAAAGTAGTTTTATCGGTTTTCTCGTAAACTTTTCTATTCAAAGCGACCCCTTAAAATTAAAATCGTGACGAGATGAACATAAAATTTGAAACTTTTTTTTCAAAAATTTCATGTCCGACTTCTTCCAAAGACTCGTTCCACTGAGTGGCGTAAGAGCGTATCGACGGTGAAACTACCAAACCACGTATCTCGTTTGCGGTGTTTAAAAATCTACGCTCACATTTTATTTTTTTGAAGTAGACCAAATCAATATCATTCCTTGAAATTTTCACGGAATTTTCTCCGCACAAAGAGGAAAAATCACAGAAATTTTCAAGATTGGATGTTAAGTAGTTTTTCATTGAAAAAATAAAGTATGACAGGAAGTCTGCGACGTCGCAAACCGAGATACGTGGTTTGGTAGTTTCACCGTCGGTTTCTCGGTCAGTGGCGTGGCGTGAACGATCGATTATCGATATTTCCCCATTTGAAGCTATGGTAAAGAATCGATATGTGAGGTGTTCCTTACGAACACCCTGTTTATCGATTCTTTTCCATAGGTTTAAATGACAGATCAATCGATATATCGCAAACCACGCCACGCCACTGATCTCGGTTACCGCATGAGCCTGTGAAAACCTGGATTTATAAGTAATACAGGGTTCACATGGAAATTAAGATAATCCCTTGCGTTTTGCGTTAGAGGTGCGACGAAATGAGAGAAAAGTCAGTGTACTTTGCTGTGAAATATCTTTAAACTCTCTCTTCAGGCCAATACATTTAATTATACTTTTAATTTCAAGATACTTTGCGCCGAAAACGTCTGCGAACAGCATATTTTCATAAAAAATCATGTCGCCCCGCAGAACATTAAAAAGTCGGGAAGTATTATGATCAAAATTCCTGAAACGTCAAAGGATCAGATCAGTGGCGATGCTTGAAAGTTGGCATCAATATTTTCCCTCCGTTTAAATCCATTCAAAATATCGATTGTGGGTGAAGCAAGCTGCCTCACCAAGAATAAAATGTTTTACATACATTTAAATGGGGTGAATTAAGAAAAGAGCTAAAATGTTTTTCAATGTGTTTTATTCGGTTGTTTTCAATTCGCCTTCAGGTGCTTACGCAGCAATTGTTGGTACGAATATGTTGTGTGTGCTGAGTTTAGCTCATTACATACTCGACTCTCTGAAGGCGTTTCATGTGCGCAAGTGGCGCACCCTGATGGCACCCGAAGATATACGCTTTTAAAGTTTTTAAATCATATCCGACCTCTGCCATTGATTCGCTCCACTGTGCGCCAGAGGAACAACGATTTTTCAGGGTTGTGCAAAATGTCTTGACTTCCCTTGGTTTTTTCAACAACTTTTTACCCTATTCTCACCCAGGCAATTTGGCAATCCTGATGGAAACCCGTGACGTCATCCAGGATAATCCTAGCGGCGCCGCAACGACCGCGATCAGGAGCGGCGACCCGACGCCATCGGGGCATTACACGACCCTCGACGTTGCCAATTCGTGCATAAATCAATTAAGCACACTCGTGATTAAAACACTCCTTTATTATCCCCGCAACGCAAATGCGACGCGGCAAGGTCAACGGGCGGGCCACGCGACCGTCCCGTCGTACAGTGGATCGAGTGAATTGGAGAGGTCGGACATGAAATTTTTGACTAAAACTGGGCATTTCGGTGTTTATTTCGTCACATTTTAAATTTTAAGGGGAGCTTCTGGAGGAAAATTTCACGGAGGGACCAATGGAGCCACTTTTGGAACCTCAACATTTTGTATAAACGGAGTTATGCAGGGTTATCACAGAATTTAGAAAATGAAATTCCCTGACAATTTCCCTGATTTCCCAGACACATTTTGGTGTAATTCCGTGACAATTGAAGATGTGACGGGTGGTTAAGAAGGCGTAACATTTTGTATGAACAGAGTTATGCAGGGTTGCCACAGAATTTAGAAAATGAAATTACCTGACAATTTCCCTGATTTCCCAGACACATTTCGGTGTAATTCCCTGACAATTGAAGATGTGACGGGTGGTTAAGAAGACGTAATTGCAAATAGTTTTCAGGCGGAATTTGTTGTTCGAAACCTCAAACCCATTCTAGAAAGCAAATGAAGGTAATTTAACAAATTTTCCCTGACATTTTCGTCATTTCCCCTGACATTTCCCTGTTTTCCATAACTTTTTAAACTTCCCTGACATTCCCCGGTTTTCCCTGACATTTCCTGGTTTTCCCTGGCTGTGGCAACCCTGATTAGAGAGGTCGGACATGAAATTTTTGACTGAAGCTGAGAATTTTGGTGTTTATTTCGTCGCATTTTAAATTTCACGGCGTGCTTTTGGAGGAATATTTCACGAGGAAACCAATGGAGCCACTTTTAGAACCTCAAAAATGTGTATAAACGGAGTTTAAAGTTTCCAAATTTTGTCCGACCTCTCCAGATATCGACTAGATCCTTTGTGCGTCGGCCATCGGCTACTGGATAATTGATAAGAGGGTCCGCCATACGCGGGCGCGCCTATCGCCAAAATGTTGGTCATGTTCACTAATTATGGCTCCGATTATAATAACCTGTGCGACCCCGTTCATTTATACCCACAGCTATTGCGCATCGGGTGATGAGTGCTGGAATCTGCTGGATTCGGGAGTATTCCTCAGCCGAGCTGAGGAAAAACGCGGTAAGAAACTTTAGACGTTGCCAAATTTTCTTCGATTGAATACTACACTGGAAAAAAAACACATTGGATCTAGAGTTCAGACTCTTAAAAACATCGACAAGAAAAAATACTCTTGATTCGATCGGATTTTTGCTTAAATCAAGGACCAAGCCTCTGAATTTGAGCGGATTTCCTTTTGATTTAAGCAAAAATCTGATTGAATCAAGAGTTTTTCTTCTTGTCAATGTTTCCAAGAGTCTGGACTCTAGATCCAATGTGTTTTTTTTTTCCCAGTGTAGTTTATAAGGGCATTGGTAAATACTTTCCTTCCAATTTTGCAGACATTTTTGTACGCCAATTCAATCTAAAATCTCTGGAAATTTAAAAAAAAAAATATGCAGAACTTTTTAGTTCGAAAATAGGATTCTACAAGGCAAAATGAAGAGAATGGTGTATCGTTTCAATTTGTTTACATTGGCTGCACAAGTAGACTTTTGCTAACATCTGCAACCGTACCATGAGGAACGAGAAGAAATTAGCTAGATTTAAAGTACATAA